AAGCGGAAGTGGCAAATTGTGCTATAGCGTTGTGTCAGAATTATACACGTTAATACGTTTTTTGGCGGAAAACACTTTTTACAACAGATAAAATAACTATTTTTTTAATGAATTTATGTAGTTTTCATACATAACTGTGATGTAATTTTACATTTATTTTTATTTTTCATTTTACTGCTATTTTACATTTAAATTGAAAAATTTCTCATTTTAAATCATTTTTTATCAGAATCTTCATTTTGTGTATGAGACTTACATCGTAGTGAGATATTTAAACTCAGTGTCATGTTTACCAATACTGAGTACCTAAATGATTAGTTAATAAATTTGCGTATCCAACTTCATTCACATGTTTTGGTTACTTTCTTTACATCCCAAACGTAACTCTATGTATTGAAGCAGCTTTACGAACTAAGTAAACTGATACATGCCTCACTGTGAGGAAAGAAGAATTTCTCGACCACACTATGATGCAAACATCGAATGAGTGAGTGACATATTTCCTTCAGTGTTATTTAACTGATGCATACAGGTATGTGTGATGTAATTTAATTGATATAACTTACACATGCTTGAACCTAAAGGAAAACAAATCTGTGTATAATGCTAGAATACAAAGAGCGAAAGAGAAAGTAAGATATTCTGTTCAGTGTTATTTAACTGCTGCATATGTTTTAATTTTGATTCCATATAACTTGTTTTTAATTATAAGAGAAAGAAAAATAATTCAATATTGAACACATATTTCGAGTATAACAAAAGTATTTTAAGAAACAAGCTAATAAAAATACATTAGTGATTAAAAATATTGAATTTGTGTAAAGACTGAATTGAAATTAAGATGTGGTGGTGTATTTAATTATGGCAAAGCACACTAAGGCTATCTGCGTAATAGGTGTGATGCCATCGTGGAGGACTTTCTCAGGGAAACTGGCTCGTATACACGTTACGCATGAGGAAAACCACGAAAACACCCATGCAGCCAGCCCGTTCGCGGGATTCGAACCGAACTACCCAGTGTTCAGCGACTTTACCGCTCGGCCGCTGGTGGGCCGAAACTAAGATGTAAGGCAAGTTTATTATTATTATTATTGTGCGTATATGTGTAAGAAAATGTATTTTAATTGTTCCATTTTTAATGTATGAAAGGAAGAATAGGATACCAATATCGAAGATTATTTACTATAGCAAATAATCACGTCAGGATAAATGTTATATAGAAATCTTGGGAGTGTAAGGGATTATAAGAGTACTTTTAGATTATACTGAAAATATACGCACTTCTGCTAAAATCTGAAGTGAATCAGTATGAAGTGACTTTTCACTTTAAAAAGAATGTGATAAGTATACTATTTAAAAGTATAATGACGGATATTAAGAAATTTGTAGAATTTTTATGGTATTTAAATATGAATTTGTTAAGTCAAATCTTTTTTATATTATTTTTGCTTGAGATATGTAATTTAAACTGAAAATCACGATCATATATTTCTCATGGAAAGTGCATGAGCAATGAAAATAAATAGAATAATACTTTTTGATTATGTTTTTACCATGGTCTTAGCAGTATGCCATCATGTGTTCTGTTCAACAAGATTTATTTAGTGCAAACAATACTACGAAAAAATATTGAAAAATACCTTGTTTTACTATATTTATTTCCCTTAATTAACTTAAATATCGTTTTTTCATTTTCTAATGCTTTCCTTTACGAAAAGAATTTAATGTTTACAATTATTTTCAGCATTCGTACGAATTCTGTGCATAAAATAAACATTTTCTTTAACAAAATACTTAATCGGAAAGTATATACCCGGTATTTCCGGTATATCTACCACATATAAAATGATCATTTTGCTTTAGTTTACATTTTTTCCATTACCAAAATCATGTAGCAGACGCGTCGGCCGATGCGTCTTGTCTCCCGGGTGACGTCACTACCAGCAACCAATGGCACGCTTTTTCCGTTCCTGGCCTAACCTTAGTATATTAAAGAACCTTGAGGCAGTACAACCGGCGTTAAAATGTAGTCCACTTAACTGCAAGCCGTCGTAGTGCCTTGAAAAACGGTTAGAGGTGATCGTGTGTCCCAACCAATCGCTTCTCACACTCACACCTTGTGTAATCGTCGCATGCCGGTCGACAACAAATGCCGGATCGCACCGCTGGCTTAGCCGCCTTCATATGCGTGTACATCGGTCATCAGCACTGACAGTGAATAGGAATTCATCGCTGAATGTCACACACCTCCAGTCGGTCACACTTCAGCTTGCCCGAGTTCAGCAAAAATCCAATCGACACTGCCTATGATGTGAGGACAGCGGTAGGCGTCTTAATGGAGGTCGATCAGTCGTCTCCGTATGATGTCCTTTAATACCATCGGATGCCTGGAAGATGGTAAATGGCGTCAAATCAGTGCTAGCGACGTTGTTGGAGCGGAAGTGGCCGCTCTTATGCTTGATCGATTCTCGCACTCATTTGTATTCCTAGAACGCCCTGATCCTCCGGGACGACAGAGTATCCCTTTCGTGATCCATTATCGCCAACACTGAACAACTATCATATCGCTCCGACCAATGTGGCGGCCAATACGCCTGTTCGATCAACCTGCTTCTCTGAGGCCTACTATACGGCCCTTCTCAAATTCCGACAACTGTTCGTACTGTCGCCTGTTAGTCTCAGAGTCATCTCTAGTCACAATACCGTTCATTCAAGATTCTTCTGAAGAGCCGTATGGCACAAGCAATCATGCTTTTAAACTCTCCCGGCTGCGCATCTCATATGCGCATAGCGCGCTTACCCTTGTCTCATTATCGTCGAAATTTAAATAATTTTCATATCTCTTACAAGACTACATTCCGAGTTTCGTAATTGTGGCTCGATTTCTTCTGGCTACATATATTTTTTGTGGCAGAGTGACACTAAGTCAATACATGCTGTCATACGTTATTTGCTATTTAAAATAATCTGTTTGCATTACATCTTATTTGTTGTTCCAAATGCACTGAGCCCTTTAATTTCATAAACTGATGCTAAATGTTTATCACCAGTCATTATATTTGTATAATATATTCAGTGTAGTATATTATTACTTAGAGTATATTATAATTTAATACAATTGCAAAAGCTTAGACAGTTTTAAAAAAAATTCGGACAAATTTTAACGCAGTTAAAAACTTAATGAATGCTCATAAAACTTTAACAATGTAACAAAGTAAACGTTCAACGAATTCTCGGTAAAATTTGATTAAATTTTACGCTTCAGCTTATTAAATACTGAAACGGATATGAGTATGTTTATTCTTTGAGTTCTCAGTCGCATATGTTAATTAAATAACTGATTAAGCAATTAATTACTTTTTACTAGCTTAATTACTTTTTACTAGAAGATGGTAAACGGCGTCGAATCACTGCTAGCGACGTTGTTGGAGCGGAAGTCGCCGCTCTTATGATTGCTCGATTCTCTCGTTCATTTGTATTCCTAGAACGCCCTGATCCTCCGGAAAGATAGACTATCCCTTTCGTGATCCATTATCGCCAACACTGAACAACAGTTAATTTCATAAACTGATGTTAAATGTTTATCACTAGTAAATATATCTGTATAATATATTCAGTGTAGTAATACACATCACGTTAATACACGTCACACGTTGTTTTAATATATATCACGTTAATACACATAATCTAAATACACATCACGTTGTTAATACACATCACCTTGTTTTCCGAGTGGGATTTTTTTTTATTCTCGGGAATAAAATGTCTATTTCCTTCAGCACGAAATGAAATATTTTGCTTTATCCCTTACGTTACATTATCGCTTGGATTATACTATTAATCATTTACACTCACGTCGATATTATTTATATTTAACAAATAAAAATCTGATGTGGATACTACATAACTTCCTTGTACAGCGGATTAAATTATACACATTTTTTGTTGCATTTTATTTAAACTTATTTCCTCGAATTTCATTTGAGATATATTTCCCATTCAATTAATTAAGTTCTCACTTCACGGTAAGGCAAAATACATAAAACTCAAAACAGCTTCATTAAAAATTGAAAAATATAGAAAAAACTTAAAACACTAAATACAATAAATACAGTTAAAACAGCTTAATTTTTTTTACAATTAAAATTAAAGATTCTACGCAAAAACAAGCAATTCGGCCAGCGGAGTAGAAGGCAGAATTTCGGTGCATAAAACTAAAAGTTCACTTTTGATCCCACTCGGCAAAAAGGCACTGAATGTGATGAAACTGACTTAATTCATTATTCTACTAAACCGTTTCAAATGTAAAAAATTGTCGGCTACCTTAGGCCCACATAACGCCGGTCTTTACAGTTATAGTGCTACTAATAGCACTTAAACTGTGAAGACCTTATTTTGTTCTTACCAATGCTTTTTAGTTTACGAAAGTTTCCTTTCCCTTCTGATTGCAATTTCCTGCCAGAAGGTACATTTAATGACGTATATGCAAATCTAAGTAGTTCGGAAACAGTATATTTAATTAGCTGGTTTTAGGAGTTCGCAGTGGGAGAATTAATTCTGAATTTATGCCGCGTGGTTGATTAATAGCCTTGTGTTTGCCCATTTGTTGCTAGCCACTCTCTTTAGGTTATATTGATATTCTAGGCTCGACTTTGCTGTGTGCAGATTACTTAGCAGTTTAGATAAAGAAAGAGCCAGTCGTGTAGCTAATCTTTGCTTTATTGTGATCGTACATCCTATTTTCTGTTAAAGCTACTTAGCCACAACCAGTGGGTTAAATTGGCCATTTCATTCAGGTGGCTTAGTTTCTATATTTAAGGGAATTAAAAATCTTAGAGACTGGTCCTCTACAGTGTGAATCAAATTTTCTTTCCTAATACCCAGAACGTCTTACTTTTATATGTCAAGGGTAATGAGTTATCATCAGTCAGTGAAATTAATTTACAACAGCGAATATTTTAAAAGATTCACTCCATAAAAATGTTTTTCACTCTCTTTAGCTATACAGGTTTCTGCCCTGAGCTCAGTGACCATTTTGGGGAGAGTTATGGCAAAGCAACAAAAAAGATCATTCGAGACAGACCACACTTGAGAGACAGGCTGTCAGCGGTCCATTACCACCGCCGTAGTGATGATGAGAGAAACAAGTTCAACATTTACACATGCGAGAATAGAAAAGCTATGTACCATCCAGAATACCTCGATCACTACGAAGGCATGCATCGCATGAAGCCTAAAGAGTATGTCATGGCTCCAATAGTCGATTATGAATATCGATGTCCCAAGCATATGTTTGTTGATGGATGTCCGAGTAAGTGCCATATTTTTTTATATTTAAATATTTTATTTCTAGTTAAGGATGTTATTTTTACGCATTTGATCATGTTTTCTTTTAATAATTTTATTGTATTACCCCCTATTATTTGCTGCTCTTTAGAAGTGGCATCCATAACTTCCTTCTGTAAGAAGAACGCAGATTTTCCAAAAATGCTTAATGCACGATTAGCTACATAAAAGTCTTACATCCATCTGTTTCCTATATTTTAACATACTTATCAATTTCAATAAACTGTAACCTATTCCCTGACCACGTTCCAGATATCATTTGCTAAATCATAAGTGCTTTTCAATCCAATTAGAAACTTTTTAATCATTTGCTAACTATCAAACTGTTCAAATTCATAATCTCACAATACGTTTTAGATTCTTAAAGAATCTTTTGCTCTCTTAACTCATTCTGATTGTCTCATCGTGGCGGGAGGGTGCCTTTTGGCGGAATGAGTGAAGTACATCAGGAGTTTACTCCTGGTAGGATTACCCAAAGCATGAAGGCTATTCCTTTTGCCCACCTAAAACCAGCAGGTGAAGGAGCTCAGTCAATCTTCTGCCATTTACTGTTCCATTCCAAGGACTAACAGAAGCCGGGTATTCTCTCCATCTCATGAATCCGTTAACTCCAGATTTTGATCCTGCACCGTTTGTCGCGTAGAACAGTCAGGCACGCGTTCGAGGTTCAGTCTTCATATACTTCGAGGACCCTGAAAATTCTGCAATGCAATATTAATGGATTGATTTCTAAGGAAGCCAGAGTTAAACTAAAAGAACTTCTAAAAATTGCTGAAATTAATAATATTCAAAATATTGCTGTTCGGGAAGCAAAGTTAAATAAAAATACATCTCTAAAAATTAAAAGATATAATATCTACAGAATGGATAGAGCATCCGGGAGAATGGAGGTGGTTTGGCCTTTTCTGTTAGGGATGTCAAATATCAAAGTATTGGCATAACGGTAAATCAGACTTTGGATCTAGAAATCCCAGCGTTTTCCTGTCCGAAGATTTTTTGGACAGAAAACTCCTTTCCTGTTGTAAATGTTTATCATCCTCCCAAGCAAAAACAGCTACCTTCACATTTTTCTAACCTTAAGGATAAAAATACCGTGATCGGAACGCTGAACACGCCATCTGGGGTTGTTCCGATAATAACGAAAGAGGAGGAGACATTTTACAAATGATGGGAGACAAAGATTGTATGATTCTTAATCATGGTAAACAAAATATATTTAAGTCTATAATAAATTAAACTGGATCGAATGTAACGTAATAAACAGAGAGCGTTTATTCCACACAACGTTTATTGATGAACACTAAAGACGAACTAATACATATACATAATTATGACATCACAGTTTCTTTTTACAAACACTACCGCCATCTATTGGCAATCTAAGACTACATAGTCATAAACTTAATACTCACCCCCCCTATGCATCCGTATACGAATGCATCAATTTTACTGAACTTCAAGATTATAAAGTCTTTCAGTTGGTCTTCTAACAACACCCTTATCCAACTGAATCTCGCAAGATCTAATTCTACCATCTCTTCCGTGAAATAATTCCTTAATCCTACCTATCTTCCAATTACAGAGTTTCACATTATCTTCTCGTACAAGTACAATATCATTAATTTTAAACACGGGAGAATTTTTTGGAGTTTTTGAAAACATAACTGATCTTAATTCTAACAAATATTCTTTACCAAGCCTTTTTCAAAAATGCTCTAATAATAATTGCCTATGCTTCCATCTTTTAATCAACCGAGATCTTATAGATTATAGTTTAGATTCAGGTGAAGGTAAAACAGTCAATCTAGATCCAGTTATAAAATGAGAGGTGAAAGAGGATCAGGTTCATTTGGCTCATTGTATACATAGGTTATAGGTCTAGAATTAATAACTGCTTTAATTTCAACTAAAACATACAGTTCTTCATAGTATAAAAAAGTTTTACCTAACGTATATTTTAAACAAGTTTTTACAGAACTTACTAAAAGTTCCCAGAATCCGCCCCACCAAGGAGTACCTTCTACAATAAATTTCCATTTAAACCCATTTTTCCCAAGGAAATTTAGAACCTTTTCACTTTACACAATTTATACAAATATTTTAATTCACGATCAGCAGTTTTAAAGGTCTTAGCATTATCAGAATAAATAACTCTACAAATACCCCTACGTGCAAAAAAATCTACGTAAGGCTTGAATGAAACACTCTGCACTTAAATTTGATAACAATTCTAAATGGACTCCTCGAGTCACTGCACAGGTAAACAATGAAGATATACACTTTGTACCATCCTTTTAAATACAAAGAGCCAGCGAAATCTATGCCACTTACCTCAAATGGTTGAGCTTTCTCCACTCAGGCAGCAGGAAGAGGAGCCGATATCTCGTGTCCAGCTTTAGCATTATATTTTCTACAAAATCTACAATCATGTAACACAGATTTTACAAAACGTCTAACTTTTAAAATCCAAAATTTCCATCTTACTTGCACTAAAGTTTCATTTACACCACTATGAAGTACCTTTTCATGACAGTTCAAAATAATTAAACGAGAAAAATAATTATTTGGTAAAATTATAGGCTGAATTTCACCGACACCTAATGATGATTTTACTAATCTACTCCCAACTCTTAAACAATTTTCATCTATTACTGGATTTAACCCAAACAATTGGAATTATGAGACAATGGATTTTTTACATTTAACATCATTCAACTCTGTCAAAAAAATACTCACCTTGTGATAAGATAATCCAAAAACACATAGCATTACATATTTCACTTTTGATCACAGGACCAATCACTCTATTCTGTGACTTCAAATTATTAATGAATCTAAATACATATGACGTGACTCTTAAAAGTTTACCTAAGTCACCAAAAGTTTCTCTATTTTTAACACAGGTTGTAAAGGTTGAACACTGCTAGTAACTTGAGTCACAACTCTTTCTTCAACACTATCTACTATGTTACAATGCTCGTTCACTTTAGGACCAATTTATTTCATCTTGATGAAGCCATGGAGGTCCATGCCACCACACGTGATCTCACCACACAAGCTCACTCACTTTAACACCACATGTGATTTTGTCGGCAGGATTCTGGGATCCTGGACAATGATGCCACATACTCGGGGATGTTTTGTCTTGAATTTCCGACACTCGATTTTGTACGAATGTTTTCCATCGCCGTGGTGAGTTCTTTATCCAGTGAAGCACAATAAGAGAATCTGTCCATAAATGAATCTTAGCTTGAGGAAAATGCACACGGACTGTAGTTACAAGTCTTGCACCTAACACTGCTGCCATGAGCTCGAGTCTTGGTAAAGATAATTTTTTCAGGGGAGCCACTCTGCTCTTGGCTATCAATAAACTTGCTCCGGAATATTTTAAGCTACGGAATTTCCAGTACACTGCTGCTCCTCAAGCACTTTGAATCACAAAAACAATGTAGTTGCAGTGTTTCAGGCGTTTCATCCACATCACGAAAATGCCATTGAGGTACCTGGGTATTAGGTAGATCACATAGTTGCCTATAACATTTGTTCCACTTGTCTTGCAATTCTCGTGGAATAATTTCATCCCAATCAATACCTTTCAGCCATAAATCCTGAAACACCTTTCAGCCATAAATCCTGAAACAGAACTTTTGCTTGAATAACATATGAAGCAAGAAACCCAACATGATCAAAGATGTTCGAAGCGGCTTTCAAAACTGGATCATTTGACTGGATGAAATCAATAACATCTTGAGCATTAAAACAGAAGATACTCCTATTTTAAAGCCTGTCCTGGAAAAGCGAAAACACCCATTCGAGACTTCTAAACTCCATCTGAAAATATCAAGTTGGAACTAATTATGCAGTATATAGAATTTTAGTTAATGCCACTTTAAGACGGGTATCTATTCTAAAATTAAAAAAAATAACAGAATATTTACACACGGAAGTAAGAAAATCTATTTTAGGAATAATAAGGTGCTTTTAAATCTCGAAATTGGAACAGAGCAAAAACTTAAGATTTTTCCAAAGTATTAAAATTTGAGCGAGTTCAGTTTTATTTTCCTGTTTATTAGTCTTCGAATGAGTTAACAATAATTCTTCGCATGATCTCTACTTTTCAGTAGCAGTGACCTAATATACAGACTTTGTTACATTTTGCAGGGTGCTCAAAAACATAATGCCGTCATTGATGATAATTTATATGCTACTAAATATTAAGGAATAGCCTCTCAAATAATAAAACAAGAAGAAAAACTTCAAAGAATCCTCTGTTCCATTATCCCTTTACGTTAGGCACGACACTCTCATCGTTTCTTCAAACTAACTTGCATTACTTGTTGTTTTACTACTTTCATTTGTAAAATAAAGTTCCTAAAATTTAAAAAAGCCGCTTTAAAAACTAAGTGAATGAAATATGACCGTTCATACAAAGCACTGGGTGTGTAAAAAATATTCTAGGCCAGACCTCAGCAACTTACGACCCGCAGCTCACCGTGTGATCTATTCATAACTTTATTTAAACCACTTGATTTCCAAAAATAAAATATAATATATAAAAGTAAATTACAAAGCATAAATATGAAACGAACACCTTGAAAAATACATAAAATAATAAAATGAAAATACCGCGCAGACAGGAAGGTGGCTAGTGACTCCGACTGCTGAACCGAAGGGCTCAGGCTCGAATGTCGGAGAAAGCATGGTTGTAAAGTAGCTATCCCTTTATGGGAGGCAACTGTGGCCCACCTATTAGTGCCTCCATAATAAAATGACCACCGCTTCCGGCCTTAGTAGTGGCCAACGTCTATGACAAATAACATTAACGTTTTTATTTGATTTACAAAGTTGCAGTTAGGAACATGCATTTTTATTTTAAAAAATTAAAAACTGTAACATAATTTCAAGGAGAAAATCCATAAGTTTGGCAATGCCTATCCGTAATTCCTTGACAGATATCTGGCAACACTTATGTCGATATCTCAGTTCTATTAGTTCACTCTCAGTTATAGCACTTGAGAGCTTATTCCTTAATATTTAGCAGTAATAAATTCAGTAGCATAAAAAATTGGTTTTGCAATTTTTTCCACATTCAGTTCAACTTATAAGTGCGAGCAAATATTATCACAGATGAAATTTTTTTAACTAAAAACCGGAGCAGCTTCAAGTACAGAATTAGTCTTAAAACAACTAACTTTAAGCTAGACTAACTAAACAAAATTAGCGCTTTTCGGACCGCTATGAACGTTCAGCACCACAAACTCATATCCATTCTGCAATAAAAAATGTCAGTTATAAACATACACATGATACCTGTACACATATCTGAAGGCATCAACATGGAATTTGAAAACGCTTTTAAAACATTGTCACATACTGGTTTCTGGAATGCATACGACAGAGGGGACTCGTTACACGTCCATCACCCCGCTTATAGAACTCAAGCCTGCCCGCATGGATTCCATGTACCATCTCCATGCGCCAGGAGAAGGATCTGTAAGCGTCCTCCAGATGTGAAGATTCAGAAAAAGCCCAGAATCCTGCCCCACAGGCAAGCTGGAGTGATACCAAAATACACAGGCCACATCCCAGGTGAGATTGCTTACGTCTTTTTTTTTTTTTTTTTTTTTTTTTTTTTTTTTTTTTTTTTTTTTTTTTAGAAAGGACACATAAACTTTCACAACAGCGTTTTCCAACCAAAAGCAACAGCCACGCATTAAAACACATGACTCCAGAAATCAAAAACGATCCACGCATTTGCAGCGATAATGTGTCCACTCTCTCTACACGCCATCGTCAACCACAAGCATACGTCATCAATAATAATAATAGAAATTCAAAATTATTTACGAATATTGCAACGAAATCATATAAATAATCTTTTGGACAAAGGCACATGTAGGAGACAATGGCAATGAAGCAATCAACAAGCTAGCAAAGAAACCTGCCAATAACAATAACGACGGTTTTTTTATTTATTTATTTATGGCAGGCACTAGGCATTTTTAGGCTACTAAGGCCAGAATTCGTGGTCATTTTATTATGGAGGCATTTAATAGGTGCTCACCATTACGTCCTATAAGGTAACAGAAACTTGACATCCATGCCTTTCCCAGATTTCGAACTCGGGCTCTTTGGTATCGTAGTCAGCTTCCTAGCCACTATACCGTCACACTTTTCACAAACTTTTGACAACAAAGAAGGTAAACTTTGTGATATTCCTGTACCACATATTTATCTCAAGCTTTTACTAAACAGCAAAGCTCTGTGGCAAGAAAAATGGAACACCAACGAATACGGCAGACGCCCATCTCACCACATACCAAAAGTAAATATACACCAAAAGATCTACTTTCCATAATTAGAAAATTACACCAGAAGACGCAGAGCTTTCCCGAAATATTATTATAAATTTGGGATTTCAAATATTGTCCTTTGCATACGTGGTGAGCAAAGCACACTGTTATTTTGCAGCATAGCAGTGCTCCATAAATATTTCATATATAGTAGCCTAGCAGCCCTATAGCATAAAGGGCATAAAAACTTATGTGACATGGGTTCATGGGCATGTGAATTAATGCAGGGATTCTTCCCCTGGAAGGATTTTCATACTTTCGGGAAGGAAGGAATTCAGCTTTTCTAAATCTGTTAAGTATCTAGTTTTGGTTTATGAATATAAAAAGCTACTTTTTGTTCAAGTTTTAGAATTTTATCAGCATTTTCTGTATTTTTTCCTGTTTAATTCCTAAAACACATTAAAAAGTAATCTAAATTTAAATAAATGTATATGTATTTATCGAGTTTGGGAACGAAAGGGGAAAATGATCTTTTAGGACTGGTGAAAGGGGAGTTAATTAACCAGGTATAGAGCAAAAATATGTTGAGGACCACCTGAATTAATGCGCAAAGTTATGCCCATGAACTTTTGTACACCAGTCTATAATATCACATTCCATAGTATCTGCGATATATTAATAGAATACTTTATTTTTATCCTCCGAGATTTCCTTTCATTTCATGATTTACAGCCTACTCTAGTCTTGTAAATTTTAAAAAGAAGGTCATTTGAAATCAGATCAGTAACACTATGAATTGTATAACTGTTTATAGTACTGGATTGTTTAAGATTATCACTATATTATAAATAATTGTAGATTTGTTACCCAATGCTATCTCAAACGCATTAAACAATAACAGGAAATAATGCACATCTGAAATCTCTTCATTCACCTTTGTGTAAAATACGAGTAGTTTTCATCGGATGAAGTTTTGTTTTATCGAAAGGTAACCTATCTTGACTCGGTCTTGTTTCACTCATGTAGAACATTCAGCTGGTTTCTGGAATGCATACGACAGAGGGGACTCGTTACACGTCCATCACCCCGCTTATAGAACTCAACCCTGCCCGCATGGATTCCATGTACCATCTCCATGCGCCAGGAGAAGGATCTGTAAGCGTCCTCCAGATGTGAAGATTCAGAAAAAGCCCAGAATCCTGCCCCACAGGCAAGCTGGTGTGATACCAAAATACACAGGCCACATCCCAGGTAAGATTGCTTACGTCTTTTTTTTTTTTTTTTTTTTTTTTTTTTTTTTTAACATTCCTAACTCGTTCGAATGAATAGTTGATACATTGCGTGCGGAAATGCCTGAAATTCGTTCTCAAATGATCAACTGTGTTTATCATAATCAACTACGGTCAATATCTTATAAGATTAATCTCTTAAGTTTTATTTTTCGAGTTTTGTGAATAACTTGTTGGACGCAGATACCAACTAATAAGCCTAATCATAGCATTCTTTTCTGGAAACATTCCTGTTTGTCATTCCTAAGTTAAAAATTATATTCTTTCTGCATACCCCTAGCACACAATGAAGTACTATCTTTAAGAAATGCTCTCTCTTATCCCATAATATTCTTCACAATTAGCATAACTTGCCTGATGGTGGCAGATATTTCAACAACCATCTGTAAAAAACTCGTTGCAAAATTTTTGACAACTAAACACATGTCCAACAATTTTTCATAAAAAAAAATTTCTAATAATTACACTAAATTTGTAAGAATTATTATTTAAATTAATCAGTTATATATAATTTAAATTAATCAAATTTGTATAATTTAGTCGATTATTTATCAATTATTTTTTATTGTCACTTCTCACTTCCGTTTCTCTACTAGAATGAAAATTAGTTGTGAGTATTTAAGCCGAAGTTGTTAAATTCTAAGCCAGAGTGTGTTTTTGCCTTTCGAGCCCACGTTACTAGGTTAACTAATTCAGGAAAGGTTGCAGTTTTCAGTTTTGCATTTTATTTCCAGATATTTAAATTGTTACTGTCGCAAGAAGTTTGGGCTAACTTTGCATTAAATTATTTGTGTAGCCCTTGGCTACTAAGTTTTAAATCTGAATTTACTGCTACTTTTACATCGTCGCAAGTGGTTAGCTCATTTGTAAGCACGAATCGTGCATTTATGTTCCAGTTTTGATTAGGAGTTGGAAACTACACTGGTGAAATAAATTAAGAGAATTTGCATATTTGATCTACGATCTCCAGAAGTAGTCGACAGATTATAATAAAATTTGGTGTGAACATAGGTTGATATAATACAAACAAAATAAACATTCAATAGTTATAATAGACACACATGTTCGTATGTAACACTCATGGGAGTCTGAAGGTCTGAAACAGTGGTTGCAGAAGACACAAAAGAAATGGGCTAATAGGGGTTGTGGTCCCCTCTTACAGCCATACAGGCCTCGCAGCTTGATGTCACACTGGAAATAAGGCAGTTTATCAGTGCTGTGGCAAATTGTCCCACTCATTCAACAACGCTGGTTTCAGTTCCTGGATGGTTCTTGGAGGGGTGTTGCGAGTTGAAATTGCCCTCCCCAGAGCATCCCAGACATGCTCTATAGAGCTGAGGTTTGGATACCTGGTTGGCCAATCCATACGGTGAATATCCTCACTCTCGAGAAATTCGTCGACCAGAAGAGCTCTATGTGGCCTCACGTTATCGTCCTGTAAGATAAACTCGGAGCCCACTCCACCCCAGAAAAGGCGAACATAAGGTTCCACGACTTCATCCCTATACCTCACACCAGTCACATAGCCTCTGTTAAAGACGTGGAGAGGTATACGGCCATCCGACATGATGCCTGCCCAGACCATTACACCGCCACCACCATAATTTATGATTTCGCGGACATTGAAGAGTAGGCAGCAGGTTCCTTGCTCTCTCCATATGAAAGTACAGCGAGAATCGGTGTTTAGGCTAAAACGGGACTCGCCGGTGAACAGAACGGTCGCCCATTGCTGCACCATGCTAATCGGACTTTTTTGTCCGTAGACGTGAGCGAAAGGCAAACAGCCGGTCTTCTGGCAAGCAACCCTCTCTCATTCAGTCTTTTGGAAACAATCACCCTTGTTACACGGGTTTCTGTCTGTCTGCATACAAGTCCCAAGAGAGCTCAGAAGATGTAGCCCCTCTGTTACGCCTCGCTAAAATGGACAGATAGCGGTCTTCTCTGGCCGTCGTGGCTCTTGGACGACCTTGCCCAGGCTTTCTCTCGATGGATCCAGTATCCTGGAACTGTTTCCATAGGTTACACATGACGCTGGGCGTTAAAATAAACTCTCTGCATATCTGGACTTGCGATTGGATTGCCTCTATCCTCCCCACAATTCGTCACTTTATTCCATCATCTAAACGTTGGTGGTTACTTATTTTTACTGTTTCGATGTGATTTTAACCTAATGCTGCAAGATAACACCAAGAAATTCGTCAAGGTGTGCTAGCGAACGCAATTGGTCTTACCCTCCATGCGCTTATAAAACCTGTTCCAGCAGAAAGCTGGATTCGCCTACACACACGTGTAGGCTTACGTATTTGCCGTACAAGATTTGCATTTTTATCTAGAAGCAGTGGTTTTCCCTTCAGTCCAGTTCTTTTCATGCAATTCGATAAAATATGCAGATTCCCTTAATTTATTTCACCAGTGTAGTTTATGAGACCAAAACAAGTCAAATCTTATAAATTATAAGAGTTTATGACTGATGTATAGAGATTTTATGAACGCACTGTATAATTGATTCTAATTTCGATATACAGAGCATCTTTCATTCGTTGTGGTACCCGACGTCCTACGCAAATTCAGGCACGCGGCTTATCTAAGAAGTCTCTTTGATCTCCTTTATCGTTAGTTGCATGATAAATATGAACAAGCCATAAAGGACGTAGAAGTCCATCTAAAGTGGCAGAAGCCCGTGAAAGAATCTCAACCTTGGCCCTCTTCAATGACAACACTAATGTGAATAAAATGGGTTACGTTGATGACTTTCTTCTAAATGGTCAGAGTGTAGAGCTATAATGTTTTTTAAAATGGGAGAGGTGAAAAATGGGCAATGCCCTCACTGGGATTCGAACCTGGACCTCTCGTATGCGCTCTGAGTGTGCTACCGTTACACCACGAAGGCATGCAGTAGGGAGAAAGCTTCGGCAGTACCCATACTAAATTGGAGCCTTATGCACTTCCCTTTTTAAAGGGCGACTGGGATTAGGGGACCCATTCAATCAATCCTGGTGGTGAAGAATCATCATCCACCTTTTTAGTTCGGGAGCCGCTATTAGTAACTTAGAATTCTTCAATGTCAGGAAGCTGAAGAAATCCGCAGTGCCCTCACTGGGACTCGAACCCTGGAGCTCTCGAATATGCCTCGAGTGTGCTACCACGATGGCATGCAGATAAGAGGGAGAAAATACCTTATAAGAAGGCATGCCAAAAGGAATACGAAACTCGCGCGCAACAGGCAGTTAATCTCATCTCTAACTGGGCCAAGGGTTACATGTTCATAATAGCCAAACCCAAGAATGCTTTTAAGTTCAGGAAGCAGGCAGACACGCGCTCTTTGCGAGACCTTAACAGAAAGAACATCAAAATAATGAGACAACTTGAATACTTAAATTTATTTACTAATGTTTGGCTAACCTGGCAAGAACACTTTAAGCATATCAAACAACGCCTGCACATGCCCTCGAACTTCCTAAAAAGAACCATACTTACTAAGTTGGATGGTGTCCTAGCATATACTTAGAATTTCGTGTCAGACCGTAACAAAATGTGTAGCACTGCAGGGAACATCTGTGTTACCAATAATATATCACAACAATTTAGTTCGTCAGCAATGTTTTTCTTTTCTTCTGAGCATTTTAGGAGGATAGAGTATTTCCCCAATTAGTGGTTTGAATGTGCAAGAGGGACTTCATCTTCACCTATGTATAGGGAAAGGGACTTCACATCTTCACGTACAGAGGAAATACGCCGTGGTGCGCACATCAATAGTCCAAACCTTTATCAAACGTGTGGAAACATACTTATCTCTACACAAACTATGAAGCTAACATACCGGTGTTGCCATGCTATCTGCCGGAATTTAGCATTTCAGCAAAATGGAGAACACCTTACTTACTGGAAAGATGTTCAATACATATTGACGGCTCCACAAGCGAGTAATGCGCAGGCTGTAGCGTCTGTGTGTTATGAGGTGAGAACGCAGAAATTGCTTGGGCATGGATATTGGAACGAGCATTACATTCCGTTCTATGTACTGATACCGCATCCATTCTGCATGTCATTCAAGGATGGCACTGAAGAAAATATCCAGAATCTACCACTTTCCCTATCAGATAACATCAGAGCAAAACTTCAGTGGGCCTGTGCACACACTAGAATTGTTGGCAAGAAAAAAATAGATAAACTTGCAAAATCGGCTGCCGCAGAATCTTAGAATAAGGTTGTTATATGTACCATACTTTAAATTGCATATGAAGACATTTATCAAAGCGTTTGTGATGGAGCAATGGCAAAAGATCTGGTATGACTCAGACGCAGGCAGGAACCTATACAGTTTTCTAATGAAAATCGATGAAAGACTGCATAGAAATACAGCTGAACCCATGCAGATTTCACAGGTCAGCTCCCTACATTGATTCAGCTTTCGGGGCAGAGAAAGATGCACTTGTGGAGGAGTCAGCTACCCTGACCATTATTTAATGCGAATGCCGTGAAAAGTATACTTAGAAAACCATCCGCCGAAAATGGCCACGTCTTGGGCTAAAATTACCTGCAGCAACTAAATAAATCCAGAGCTGCACCACTATAGCGCACTTGATTTCCAATAGCTTGCAATTCACCAGTTTTACTGCAGTACTGTTTTAGTGTAGTTGCTATGAATCGTGCATATTCATTTTGAGTGTAACTTCTATAATACCATTTTTACTCTTACCAATATACGATATGCATGTTCTTCAAGACAGTGATATAATGGGCTACAAACACCTTTAAAAATATTATGCTAATCATACCATTACTGTAAATACTATATAACAGCATTAATATTAGTTCATGGGTATTGTAACGTAATGTTATAAAATAATATTGCATTAGTATTATAAGGCATCGTAACGTTATATATATATATTTGTACTTTTACCGGTGCACCAGCGTACTGATACTATACAGGAGTGCAATTTTTGAAACAATATTTATTTGAAGTATTGTGTCATAATTTACCAGTATATAACTCTTTTTATATCTGTCTTGTTATGTATCTCAGTTAATATCATATGATTTACATCATATAGTGTTTGTACGCAATCTATATACAGTGATGAGCCAAACATTATGACCATCCCCATATTTTTCAATGAACTCGTCTGGATGACGTGGAGGGCACGTTATTAAGTGGGAATGGTATTTACCTGCTGCTGGTGAAGGCAAGGAATCATTCTTGCACTTTCTTTTCCGAGTGATGGAAAAGGCTTCTAATCTAAGCGAATTTGACAGATGGCAGATCGTAATGGCCCTAAGACTCGGAAAGAGTATCTCCAAAGCTGCACGGTTGGTAGGTTGTTCACGGTCTGACATTGTTAATATTAACAAAGTAAAGGCAAAGTGGATAAATGGCGATGAAACTAGCAGTAGACGCCAAGGTGTTGGAGGTCCGCAAGTCATCAAAAAAAAAAAAAAAAAAAAAGGCCGTCGGAGGCTGTCCCGCTTGACACAGCAAAATCGGCGCCAGACCGTGGCTTAGCTGACAGCCCAATACAATGTATGTTTAAAAGAAAATGTTTCGGAACACACAGTTCAGCTCCGCAGCAGACGTCCCACTCGTGTGCCTTTGTTGACCAAACGTCATTATCAACCATGCCTTCAGTGGACCAGGGAACACCGAGACTGGACCACGGATAAATGGAAGACAGTTGCCTGTTCGGATGAATCACGATTTCTCATTCATCACGTCGATGTTCGTGTTAGTGTACACCATCTTCCAGACAAACGGTTGCTGTACAGCAAGTCCTACACAGGATGGTGGGGGCGGCATTGTTGTTTCACGACGTTCTTATGGTCGGCTCTGGGACCCTTAGTTGTGATAGAACAGGCCATGAAAGCTGCGGACTATCTGAACATAACTGCGGATTAGCTGCACCCTTACATGGCGTCTGTCTCCCCAACGAGAAGTGGAATCTTCCAGCAGGGCACGCCCCATGTCAAAAGGCCCGAATTGTGGTAGAGTAGTTTGAGGAGAATAAGGATGAATTCCAATTAACGTCCTGGCCACCTACCTCGCCGAATCTTAACCCGATGTAGCACATTTGAGATGTTATGGAGTAGCAGCTCAGAGGCTACCATGTCGGAATATCTCGATTTTGCGTGACCGCTGGCTAGACATTTGGTATAACCTGTCTCCAGTCATTTACAAAGAACTTGTGGAATCTATGCCAAGGCGAGTTGCAGCTGTTTTGCAGGCCAAAGGTCGCTCAACGCATTAATTGAAGAGGTGGTCATTATGTTTTGGCTCTTCAGTATATGTATCTGTACGCCATTTAATTAGAAAATTAACAGGAAACTTAATAAAATGTTGTTAAAATTCCTTTTAACAAAAAGAGAAGCACATACACTTTCACCATCTTATCTCTTCCGGCTTAATGGTTGAACACTCACAATAGAATGTTTTAGTCGGATGGCTGACCTTACCACGATTGTTCTTTCTCACAAAGATAATATCTAGGGGGCATATCTTTGGACGTCTGTATGCATTTAGACCAGGCGGTAAGGTTTAAATAGGCTGATAAGCAATTTTTCTGTTGCTAGGGAAAATTACGTAGGAAGTACTTAAGATTGTGGTTTGCCTGATAGTAAATAAATCATTGTCACTAAAGAAGATCCAATTTTCATTCCATTATTGCTGTCCTTGAGTATGAACATAGTTTTCCTTATAAAAGGAAATCTAGTTCATTGTGAAACAACGCCTTTACACACAAATAGGCCTTCAGCACTTAAATATTTCCTGATTTCAGCAGTATTTCCCGATTCTGAAGAAATCTGAAAATTTCTGTTTCACAATTTGGTAAATTCAAAAGATACTCGAAGAAAACAACAAGGATCATACTACGAGTGATTTACATATCGCTTTTCCATTCCGCTCCAGTAAATCCTCATTATTTTTTTCCCACGCTATGTATCTCAAACCACAGTTTGTCGATTCGTAAAGATATCTAATAAACCATAATTCTTTCAATAGTTTCCTCTGTTAAGCATTACTTCTAACAATAAATTCTTTCCAGGTATGCAGTTCACCTTTGGAGAAGCTTATGGCTCCGCAGCAGATAGACTACTTCGAAGACACCATGATACTATGATGCAATTAAAAAGGCATATATAATGATAGGATAGAAATAAATTTAATCCTAAAAAGAGCAATATATTATTTTAATTTGAATAATTAGAAACTGATATATTTATTAATTAAGAACAATTAACAAGATTAAAAATGAGATGCATTATAATACCCCGGCATTATTGCTCACCTGGAAATTTTATTTCACAATTTTATGCACAAATATTTCTCATCTTTCAGAAATGTATGTTAAAGTATAATAAATGGTTGGTCAAACTCAATTAGGCAACTTTCGATTACAAGTTATTTTATTGATAAACGTCAATAATTGTAATGTTACAAAAATGGAATAACACACACGTAAGCCTTCACTTTTCAAGGTAGTGGTCGACCTAGACACTCGCTGAGTCAACACATACTTGCAGAAGCAAAGTAACATTTTCACATGTTCACCGGAACATTGTTGAAATCCTTAACAATCACATTAAGCATATGTTGCTCACTGTCAATGAGATTAGCATACAGCTTATCCTTAAGTTAGTCCCAATAATTCTAGTGGGAAACTGTCAGTTGATTGGGCTGGCCACTACATAGGCCACCTTGCTGCCATACGTTATTAGTACTGGATATATTACAAATTTAATACTGTTGTTTATGATTTTCAAATGATTTTCTATTTTAATACTTTTTGTTTCCTAAGTAAAATTTAAAATACTGCTTATTATTCTTATATGATATGTTTTTAACCATCATGCAGAATTTGAAGAAGTTTGCTGTAGGGTCTTTTAAGAAAAGTGTACCACACTAGCGCACTGTCACAAAAGATTCGTCAAAAGTAAGGGAAATTAAGCAACTGTCTTTTAAAAACATTAGCCCTTTAATTTAAATTTGATGTGTTTATGTAATCTACAATCTGTGTATTTTAAATGAAAAAAAAAAAAAAAAAAAGAATCGAGTGTGTAAGTTTATTTTGAGGAAAGTTATATCTTAATAACTTTCATCTCGAAATAATTGCATTTTGCCAGTCGAGATGCCGCATGTCCCCTTAAGCGAATTATTAAAAATGGCACAAAAAAGGAAATGAAGCAAGAACCACTATATTTAACTGTGTCGTGTACCCACTTATCAAGTAAATCCTTTCAATTAACATTTGTTTTTTTCCATTTAAATTAAAATAATATTTAGGTTTGCATAAATTAAATATACTTCCTGAATCTGAACTATACCTAAAACTTTTTTCCCATAGAAAGTTAACTTTGAGAAACGCAAATTTGCCATACCCGCAATGCTTTAATGATGTAATTCCTGTGAAACATATGAGAAACAGCGAAGTCCTTGTCAATCAAAAGTTTTGTTTTAATTACTTCTGGCATGCAAGAGTAATGCTTTCAAAAAGAAGAAAAGTGACAATTAGAGGTCAAATACAGATTGAAGAAACTTTCAATTCCAATAAAGCAATAGCTCCATAACATCCATGGAGATAAACCATTATCAGACTTAGTACTGGTTATCACAGAGGATTGAAAATTGACAAAGAGGGTAGGAAAACCTAAAGAAACTGTGATAACTGCCTGGACACAGAACTGTCAACTTGACATATTTTATATTGTCTGGCCATCCTTGCTGAATTGCTAAAAATTGGGAGTCACGTTTAAGAGATCGAGCCTTTGTGATAACATTTTGCAGATTGCCAGGACTTTGTCTTCGTCCACGGCACTATTTGAATAGGCTTTATCATAGACACAACAAGATGATTTAAAATTTCAATTTCTTTTTAAAAATTGGAGTTTATGAATGATGACTTCTATCTTGCCTACAATAGTTTTCCACTTCCCAACATTTTCATACATGTTTTTATAACTTTTAGCTAAACACCGCTAGTATTGCATTTGTTGCACTTATTTCTTCACACTTTTTTAAAACCTTCTAAAATCTAATGTTGGCTTCTTCAAATACTTTATTATACGAAATTTTATGTTTTGTTCGCTTTCATTTTTTGTTTGTTATTTTTCTTACCCTTGAATTATTTTAAATTCCTTTTTTTTTTTTTTTTTTTTAATTAACTTTTTGTCTTTTAGTCTTACTTTTTCTCCCAAAATAATATTGAAGTGTTTGTAGACACTCTTACCAAGAATTATCAACTGTCACACAACTGATATAAGCTGAAGCATATTATTATTCAACTTGAGAGCATATTTAATAAACATTCGGGACATTTTCACATTTTAGAACGTTCTTCAGAAAAAAACCTTTCGTAAAGAAGAAAAAAATCTTGTTTTGTGCAAAGATTTCAATGAGAAAGACACAATAAGCATTTAATAACGTTAGTTAAGCATTTCAGACCCCGATGCTTATTCAAGAAGCTACATTCCCTGCTTACAAGAACATTAATCTCATCTTTAAGATGATCAAGCTATAAAAGTCTCCATTTTTCTATTAACCACTCTAGAGCTAAAAGGCCTGATATAGAATTTTTGCTATTATCTCACAGGTTACAAAAATATAAAATGCTTTACCAAATGCTCAGTGGGATTTTTATTGATAATACATTTCATTCTTCAAGGTAACGGTTTTGAGCACTACATAAGAATAATAATCTTTTTCTCACATTGTCCCCCAAGCTATTGCTACCTCATCACTAAGAACCATTTGTGCCAATGGTAGCATTTTTTTTTTTTTTTTTTTTTAAATCAAAAAGTGTACCTGCCTCTCTCACAAACTGTTATTAAAGCATATATTCTTCCAACCAGGATCTGAACAACATCTTCTACTAAATACACTAAATGATAAATTAGCTAGTCCTTCTGAAATACACCAGTGAAATGAGAAAATATAAAAGTGCACTTTAATAAATAAATAGGACTTTCATTTTCCCTGTTGTTATTTTTTAAGTAGTCTGGGTATCAGTTATACATGCCAGCTGATATTTATATGTTTTGAGTGTAGAAAACATTCTGATCATCATTGTTGCATCAAAAACAGTATTTTTATAATCATACTTGAATTAAATTAACTTTCTAAATGAATAAAACCATACACTTAATTTTTTTAAGTATTAAAAGACCAATTATTTAGTTACATTAAGGTCCAGTCTCTTCCTTATTACTCACTTATACATATTTTCAACAGAAATCCTTTTGAACAACTCACAGTTACAGATAATTTGATTAGGAAAAGTGACTTTTTTCAAAACCAGTAACTTATAGCAAACAAGTCTGTAAAATATCAATAAAGTTAAGAAAAGTAACCCACCTGCATTCCTGTTAGTTGCATATATTAAAATATTTTGAAAGTTTCAAAAATTTTTCCCCCCTCATAATAATTAAATTTTAGTTCTGTATTTTCCTGTTCCCCCCCCCCAACCCAATTAATAAATGCATCAGAAATTTCATACATATTTCATCAGCACGAGAATTCATTTAAAGAATGTTTACTTCTTACTACTTCTTGTCTAATTACCTCTTATTCTTGTTTCAATGAAATGCTGATTATTTTTATATTTTCCCCTTCACTGTTTGCTGACCATGAATTAATAGCCTCTCGTGATAAAGAAGTTTTTTTTTTTTTTTTTTTTTTTTTCAATATATTTTTATTTTTTACTTTGAATAAGAAACTCTGAAAACTTTCAGTTAGTTTTATCACTTTTCAGACTAATTTTGAAGAAAGTATCTAAAAACAAAATGGGAGGGAGGCAAGATCATTTTAAAGGATTCAGCTTATTTAAGAATATTTCCTTAATAGCCCTTTTTACTTTCATGAGCACAAACTGATCACAAAAATTTAAAAACAAAAACTCTACTGTTAAAAAGTTTGAAAAAAATTGAAAAATTACAAAGAGAAGCAGAGAAAACAGCTAAAAGGTGAACAATCAGCAACAAGGTGAAAAGACAAATTAATATTCAGGCATATAACTGGAAGAAGAGTTTCGTATTTCACCACTTTCCTTAAAAATTTATGAAATTTATCTGAGAGGTGAAAGAGCAGATGTCGTTAACTTAGTAAGAAAATTTCCTGCCATCTAACTAGCAGCAGTTCAATTACACCTGTTGTTGTATGCAAGATAGCAAATCTTTACTTTTTAGGTCAAAAATAACATTATTACTTATTCACTGATTTTTTTACATTTTTTTTCCTTGCATTGGTAATAACTTATCTTGACACTTAGCCTAAATTAGGTCACTATGTTAAGTCAACCTGACATCAATAATTTAAATTAGAACTAAAAATTGCTTTCATAATAAAAATACCATATTTACATGAAAGAAAGTGTACACATTTCATGGCATAGCAAAAGTGCTAATGTAAAACAACAATAAATAAAAACCTAAAATTTAAAACTAGAACCAAAGTGAGTCATCATACAGACACTTACAGCCATTAAATATGTGTCTTATTTAATACATTTCAAACTAATAATTGCATAACCATTACTAAACAACAATGCAACTTGGTTAACTAGTTCAACGTGAAAGATGATTCAATGACTATGTTCTTCCAATAAGAAACTATAGTTTAGCTCTTATAATAACAAGAACAAATAACTACAACTTTTGCATAAGTTACAAGCTTAAATTAATTTCTTGCCAAATTGTAATAGAGTTGCTTTTGTACTAAATCAACTGAATTACCAATATTAAAAACCTTTAACTGTCTTCAGCTTAATTATTTTGGATATTCAGAGTGTATAAAATGTGTTCAGAATTTTGTTTAAAACATGAAAACTGAAAGCAAGCTCAGCTCAAGAAACTGAATAATGATTCTTCGGAAATACTTTCATACACACACACAGAAAAAAGAAAAGAAAAAAAAAAATTGTAATAAAAATCTTTATTCAAAAATTGTTGTATTATTCAAGGCCTTCAAAATATAACAAATGGGAAATAAGAAGTCAATCAAATGTTAAAATAAAACATCTCTCACACAAATATATATTAAAAAAAAAGCATTATAATTAAAATCAACACTTAAAAACTGATAATAATTTTACGGAATTATTACAAGAGCATATGACGAAAATACAAAACTCTGATAACATTATACAGGAAAATTATCACTAGCTTAATAAATTTTTCAACTTTTTAAACATATTTAGCAAGAGAAATTATAGTTACATAAATTGAAACAACATACAATGCATATATATGCATTTTTTTTCCAATTTTTAAGGGGAAAAAACTTTATATTTAAATATTACTAGCTAATAAACTGTTTTCTTCGCTTAAACTAAAACTTTAATACATTGCTTCTATTTCACACAGCTAGACTCTGATTATATTTAACAGACTAGCCTAAAAGATATGCATATAAAATGTAAGTATAAAGAGATTACTTGCAATCTGATATTTATACAAATAAAATATGGAAACCAAAATAAGCTACACTTAAAAGCTTTTAACAAAAAAAAATGTCAAATCTAAAATACTGTTTCGAAGTCACCAACGAACTGTGCACAGAATAACAGAAGATAATAACTTAGTACAAAAATACAGCCACATTAGAAGTACATAATGAAATAAGGAAAACAAAAAGTTATAAGCATGTGATGAATAATAATCTATCACATAAAATTATGTAGCACACAAGAGCTAAAGAATAATAATTAAGAAAAAAGATTATAAATTGAGTTGACTTAGCACATACAGGAAGATGTTGGTTTTGGCAAGCATAGACTCAACTATGCAAATTAATAAAAAAAATAGCACCTTTTTTAATATTTTCTTTCCAGAGATTTAAAAAAATGACTTTTGGGGGTAATTATACATATTTTTTTTAATATAATTCAAAATCAGCTTCACAAACTACACCCATATACAGCATGCACTTTTATGAAAAAGAAAGGAGGAACTGGTGACAAATTACTATTTATGCATTATATGGCAATCAGCAAATACTTTGCAAATACCTGCAGATGGGAAGAAATCCTTTTAATCTTTAAAAAAGGTCCTTTTCTGAAACTTTAATTGAATATTTTAAGAATTGATAAAAATAAGAAATGAGAGTGAACATTAATTTTTGTCAGTTATTTCTGTTACACCTTCAACATATTATTCACATTAAAAAATTCTGTAATAATGGGAAGAATCCACACCTGTTACTAGAAATAATTACATAAAATTATATTATGAAAATATTACAATAACACTGGAGCTCTGTCACTTATTATTAATGTCATAACAGGTTTTGCAGTATCTTAGACCTAATCAAGTCGTCTTGGCTATCTTGACATAATACAATGACATCTGAAATGCCTCATTTATCAAATGAGACAGATTTATCAAATGAGTGCCAAAACAGATTGTGACAGATACTTTACATGATGAAATCAGGGTCACTTAAATATTTTGATTATAAATGTATATTTAGTTGACATACTTAGTTGTTCGTACTTAGGTCCCCCCCCCTCAGAGAAAAATTTTGTTCTTGTAAATTTTAAGCAGATCAATTTTGAATTCAATTTATATGTCAAGGGATTAGCTATTGTTTCAGATAAATTCAAATAAAGACAGTTTCATTCATAAACCATCAGGTTTTCTTCTGAGCCAAGAGATGCCACTGTCTACTAAACAGCAGCATTTGATATGGTTGATCTGTTATTAATAATGGTAAAGCATATGACAAAGGATGATTTTGTGAAGATCCTTCAACAGGAAAACTGGCTCATATTAAATATGAAGTTTTTCTCATAGTACATATGGGAAAAGTATATCACAGAGTCATCCCATTTTAACTGTCAGAATAACAAATGCAGACTGAATTATAGCATTCCATAGCTTTATCACATTCAAGACTACGCATCTTTTTGACTTAATTCCAATTTTCATTAGGATATGTAATATCATAAATCAGGATAGTGGTAATTTGTATTTCAAAGAACCACAGATAAAAATTAAGTTTAATTTTATCCATGGCATTAATTTTTATCCATTCGAAGGTAAGTTTAATTTTTACTGCTAAATATGATTTCACATGAAATTTTCTTCGGTTCTGACTTTCAAATTTTGGCATCAAAAATTAGATTTCTTTTTACAACACACCAATACTTATTTTTCTTATTTAATGCTTATTCCCTTGTGTTTAGCAGCCCACCATCAGCAGAGTGGTAAAGTCAATAAACACCAGTAGTCAGAAAACCAGCGAACAGGCTGGCTGTGTACTTGGTTTTTGTGTTTGTCCCATGTGTAATATGGATATGAGCCACTTTCCCTTAAAAAGGTCCTCCATGAAGGCATCCTTTCCTATAGGAAGATAACTATCTAGTTGCTTTGCTTTAATCAACTAACCTAACCTAATCTTTTGTTTTTATTATTTGATTCATTTCATAAATAACTTCTTTTTAGTGAAAACCAAATTTCAACCAATCCTCTCACCATGCAGATTGAAGAATCAGTTTTGTTATTTTACACAGGGAAATACTGTTTGGATACTCTTTTACATAATGTCCATTTCCTGCATATACGAAAGTCAGTTTAAGCTTATATTTCCAAACCTTTCCAACAGTATACAGAAAGCAATATTTTGAATACTGCATAATCAATTTATTCCCAAGTCTGCATTTTACGAAATTAAATTTCATCACCTTAAAAAGGGGGGAAAATGTTTCAATAAAAAGCAACTAAATAAAACCATAAAAGAAGAAAACAGTTTTGGCAGTATAAAAGAACACTATATTTAGATACAAATTCACAATTTAGAATATCACAGAGGTGTTAAGTCCAGCATGGTGAAACCACTGCATACAGTCTATACCAGGGATGGGAAAACTTTGCATTGTATTTAACTCTCCCCCAGCATGATTTTTACCCAGTCACTTATCAATTTATTTCACATACCTTTCCTGACGTTTTAAAACATTTTACTCAATTATTTTTTAATGATCTAGAAATCACTGTGTGTGCGTGTGATCTGATTTTAATGAAAGCATATAAGTCGACTGGTAAGTCCAAATTTCAGAAATAAAATATCTCAGGTGTCCTCAGAAAATTAATAATTTAAATCAGACCTCAAACATACCTAATGTATGTATCTGCTCATTTAATCAAATATGACAAAACAAAAGAAGACTATCTGCCTATTTAATATGGGACATTATAAAAAAAACCTGACTACTTTTATTTACATTATACATGGAGGAATGATAAACCACTCACAGAGCCAACCATTCACTGGGATTTGAAGCCAGGTTAAACAACCAATATTCAGTAAAATTATCCATTTAACAACTAGTAGGAATAACAAATCGAATCCTATTCAATATATTAAGCAATATAGCAAAATGATAAACAGTTCTGAATTGAAATTATATTTCTGTGATCAAACTTAAAAAAAGTTGCTTTCCCCCCTCCCTTCTTTTTTTCTTTCCCCGCCCTCCACAATCTTTTTAATTTTTATCTTTTAATGTTTCTCTGTTTATCATTTATCAGCATAATTTAATTATGCTGATAAATATGTTTATTCTGAATGAGAAGCAGTCACTAAAGAAATACTTATGTGTTTCTGTTTATCATTTATCAGCATAATTTAATCTTTTTATTCTGAATGAGGAGAAGTCATTCAAATAAATACTATCATATCTGCTGTGCTTAATACAGTCGCATATACTGAGATAAAATAAATATTTTAATTTGCAGTGGTCCTTTAACTCTCCATTTTAATTTGGTTATTTTCCCTTCCCATTCCAAAAGTAGTAATTGCTCAGAAATGCATCATTTCAGAATTAATCTTTTCATATGATTCTTGCAAAAGGATACACATGATTACTTCTACCAACAATGATTTCACATTCAAGAACCTACTTCTACCAACAATGATTTCACATTCAAGAACCTAAATTCATTATTAACCAATAAGGATTAATCTGAACTGAAACATATTTATTCTGAATAGAGCTTTTATCTCAGATACATGGCATTTATGCCGCTCATTTCTCTTTCATCAACTGGATCACAATATCAATAACAATGTAAAAGTCACAAATATAATCAAAAAAGTGTGAGTAAACTGCTACTTGTATTTACATTATAGCTTGTAACTGTACTTGTATTTACATTAAACTTGTATTTACATTATAGCTTCAAGCTGTTATGTTTCAAATTATGAATGTGATTTTTTAAGAAATTAATAGTCTCAGCCATTACTAATATCTTTATGTATGAATGCTACCTTATGTTTACATCATCAACTTACAAATCACCACGCATATATGTAAGACAGAGTTTTAGTACTGTCAAGGAATGTAAGACGGGTTCGGCATTTGAGAGACAAAAGTTTGCAATTGGTATTCAAAGATAATATGATGTTAAGAATAGTAGTTTCCCCATCCTTGATTTACAATTATATTTGGTCTACCGTATTTGGATTTAAACAAGAAGTCTTCAAAAAATTATAAAACAGTAATTTAAAATTATTTATGCTTATCTGACTGCCAGAGAAGACTTAACACACACATCCTTTGTAACACAATTCTTGATCAACAAAATAAGAAGAGCAATCAAATTTTTTGTTTGTGTTTAATGTCATAAGCAACTGATACTGAAGGTTTGCTTAAGATACATAGCAAACTATCTAAATAAAATGGGTGCAATAGTTTTTCTTTGAAGTCAAACTGCCTCTTTTTAAACTCTTTTTAACTCTTAAACTTTTTAACTGACTTCTTTTTAAACTTAAGACAGACAAATCCTCTTCCCCCCCCCTTATATAGCCACAGATGCATAGATCAGAAGCTTCTCTGGCAAAGCTTCAAAGAAAAATAGTTATAACATACATATGCAAGAAATCCACACTACCTAAATAACAGAAGTTCATTCAATATACAAATGAATAACAAAAGTTATAAAACTATCACAATAAACTGGAAAACATTGAAAAAATAAGACCTAAATCATGTGAAAGACTTCTTCATTCTTCTGCTTCTCCAAATGCTTCTTCAGCATTCATATAATACTTATTTGCTAGCTTTCCCTTCATACAAGACATGGCTGCTTCTGCTGCTGAACTGTAAAGTTCTCCTGAAAATATGGCATTGTACATTTGAAATATGCAATAATTTTTATACATTTAAATTTTTATGAATTTACATATTTATACAATAACTAAACATATGCATGATAAATTTCACAAAAATATAGGCCAGTTTAAAATTAGATTAACTGGATTAAAATACTAACTTCTGTGTTAATATGACAGCTGTTTCATTAACAATGATTACGAAGAAATGCCTTCTAAATCTAAATCATACACAGTAAGCAGTATTGAACTTCAAATTACTGAATAATAAGTATCTAGAGAAATGCTAAGACGACTTTATCATCCCTGTTTATGTTAATCCTTAGCTACTGAAGTTCTAAACAGTATATAACTAGTCACATGATACATTGAGTACATCATTCTTTTAATTGTAAAACAGTATGAAATTTTAGTACAAATGAAATGCACTGATGCAAAGTTACGCACGTCTTTCGTGCATTCAATAAAATATGTACTAAACAATTTTAGAATTAGAAGCTACAGAATAAAGTAGCAATACAAATTTAAGCCAAAAGGCATACAAGATATTGATTATGTTCTTCAAAACTTTTGATCCAGTTTGTTATAACTGTTAACAGTTTGTTACACTTTTGTACCTTAAATTGCTCTACTCTTTTTTTGCAGCTGCTAGGGCATTGCTTACAACAGCGGTGGCCAACATTTTTGGGAAGAGTGCTACTATTTGAAGAAAAAAAAGTTATGTGTGCCACTTCCAACTTTTCTAACATACTAAAAAATATAAAAAAGTGAAAAATGTTATTTATAGGCTAATTATGGGATTTTTATGAATAGCACTTTTTTTACGTAAGTCTGAGAAGTGTGCATTTAAAAATTAATATAATAAATAAAAGAAACACATAAACTAGGGTTTTATTGTTAATAAACATTTTTAAAGGTTCAGTCAGTTAGGTTATGTATAAAATAAAATCTAATAATTTGAAACATATATTTTATGTTTCAAATTAGCAAGAATTAGGAGCTACAGCAAGAATTAGAAGCTACAGAATAAAGTAGCAATACAAATTTAAGCCAAAAGACATACAAGATATTGATTATGTTCTTCAAAACTTTTGATCCAGTTTGTTATAACTGTTAACAGTTTGTTACACTTTGGTACCTGAAATTGCTCTACTCTTTTTTGCAGCTGCTAGGGCATTGCTTACAACAGCGTGGCCAACATTTTTGGGAAGAGTGCTACTATTTGAAAAAATACTAAAAACTTTTCCAACATACTAAAAAAATATAAAAAAGTGAAAAATGTTATTTATAGGCTAATTATGGGATTTTTTTTATGCTCATAAAAGCAAACATTTGTTCACGAGCTTATGTTGATCCAAACCTACAACAATATCTGACAGTCAAATCGTGAAAATTTGGAAAACTGCCTGTTGGTGCAAATTTCCAAAATTCAATATAATAATTTGGATCATTTCCAACTGAAAGAAATTCCTTATATTTGCTTTTGGGCATAATATGCTACTGTAGATCAATAATTTCGATCTGGATTTCAGCTGGATAATAATTAACATCTTTCAAAGAAACTGAATTATTATAATTATTCTAATGTGTTTATGTGTGTATCTATCAGCGTGTTGATACCGATGATATTATTTTTTCAAATCTTTTAATTTTTCAAGAAGTATTCAAGTACCACTGTTAAAACTCTGCCGTGCCACACACATGCCATGGGTTGGCCATTTCTGACTTACAGTCTGCACGATAAAAAAGTCAAGATGGTTACATACAAGTTAAGAATAGTCAAAGATTCTGGCTACAATATAATGAAAAACAAACTGTGAGCACAATGCTGCACTAAGAGACTATAAGCTTGTAATCATTTTGTAAACCTATCACATGTAAAAAAACAAACTATTTCTTACTTAGGCCATTAAGAAAACAATCAGTAACATGCACGACAGAATAATGGAAAAATAAAGTCATTTAGCTTATTATTTCTTAATGCATGATACTCAACAGCTATCTGCATATGGATAGATGTCTTCAAAAATATTCTTTTAAGGACAACTAGCTTTGTTTAACGCACATACGAATAAAAACACAAACAAATGCATACAAGCAAACCCACTCTACCAGTAAGAAGACAGATCCCAATCAATCAACCACTTGTTGGTATAATTAAGTTATGGAATTAATAAGCACCAAAACAGCACTTTTCTTTTCAGAACTCTGGCTACATTTCACATAAAAAAACGGTATTAAAAAGACAGAAATAATAAAAAACAACAATTAAAATAGCTATTAAATTATTTTTTAAACATTACTAACTGAATATATGTCTTATATCACTATCTTGCATAATTAAAAAAAAAAAAATTACACTCAGCACAACTGAATTCATGGTATCTTATTTACTAAAGAAGATTCTATAATTACTCTTCTGCTGTAAAGCACTAAGGTTCTGCTGTAAAGCACTAAGCTTCTGCTGTAAAGCACTAAATTATTTTTTAAACATTATTAACTGAATATATGTCTTATATCACTATCTTGCATAATTTTAAAAAAAAATTACACTCAGCACAACTGAATTCATGGTATCTTATTTACTAAAGAAGATTCTATAATTACGGTTCTGCTGTAAAGCACTAAGCTTCTGCTGTAAAGCACTAAATTATTTTTTAAACATTACTAACTGAATATATGTCTTATATCACTATCTTGCATAATTAAAAAAAAAAATTACACTCCGCACAACTGAATTCATGGTATCTTATTTACTAAAGAAGATTCTATAATTACTCTTCTGCTGTAAAGCACTAAGGGAGATAATAAAGGAGGTAATATTTTAGTTATAAATTTAGAACAAATGACAAATGTTACTTGTTATACTTTATAAAAACAAACAGTTACTAGCAGTTCACATTCTCTGACTGCTTGGTTAGTTATTCCAAGTTAACTCGGTCATCAAAAATTTGTCAAAAGTGATTATCATTAGTGACTCATAATTTATGATTCATGACAGATTTTTATTTATTTATTTGAAATAAGCTCACGGTGTGTTTTGTGGCTGTCCTGGTAACCTTCAGAATGTTGTTATGAGAATACATTCTATGGCATGCTTCTTTTGACTCAGCATCCAGGTACCTATCCACCCATCTGTGGAACATTTTTATCTCAATCAAGTGCATCAGGTTAGTAATTCAGCCAGTTTGCGATTTGGCAGGAAGTATATCATTTAAAAGCTTTTAAATTCATTATTTTAGATTTCCATTTAAAAATCTAGTAAAAATGCACATTTTTGCTCAGACTGTAGCATTGCTTTTATGTATAGTGCCACAGTTCAAGGTCTCCCACACTGCTGCTAGTAAGAACTAAATGTTTTTTGTATTTTTAATATTTTATTTCTTCTCAATAATATCTTTCACATTTTTTCTATGCAGAGAAATATTCACTTTATGATTATTAAATTTCAAAATTATTTTTTGTGTTCATTCTTAACAAAGGCAATGTAATGAGTTAACAAGGAATAATTTATTTTGTGCTGTAAAACTATTTTAAAACATAAAAATTTGGAGGAAATATATGCAGAATCTTTTATGTCTTGTTGTATTAATTAAAAGTACACAGGCAAAAAAATGGATAATTTTTGCATGGAAACTGAAAAACAAAGGATTAGTTACCAGGTTAAAAAGCTTATCAGTGGGGATTTGTTTGACTTTAGATTAAAAGACTCAACCTACAACAAAATGTTCATCCAGAGATGAAAAAGCCAAACACAGTGATATCACGTAATGCAAGGAAATCAAAAAAAAAAAAAAAAAAAAAAAAAAAAAAAAAAAAAAGAGAGAGAGAGAGAGAGAATTCTTGATTATTTGCTCTTATATTGATGTTAATTTTACCAAAAACAAAAACTATACATTTTGAAAGAGAGAGGAATAGGTAGGGTATCTTTCCTTCAAAGAGAATATAGATTCTGTGATGTAGACTGGAAATATGACATTTAAAGAGGTAAAATAAAAATAAATTATCAATTAAAAATTGAAGTAACAACTGCAATGCCTAACATGCATAACAGAAATCAAAGGAAACAAAATCATAAGAGGGAGTTTTTAAAAGCACTGGGAAAGGTTGCACTAGTTTTCTACTTTATTGGTTACTCAACATACCAGCTTTATTTGGATTCCGAATTAATCCAAAACCACCTTTCCGGTAAAGTTCTGCCTGTCGAGCCAATAATTCATAACTAGGATCATCCATACATCCATCATATTCTCCCCCTTCATCCGCTTCTTCTGTTATTAGGGCTTTCTCATACCAATATACAGCCTCATTCCAACACTTTCTGCTGAGTTTGAAGTACATTATATTACAAAAACAATATTTCATGATAGTTTTATGAACAAAATTTAATGACTACTAAAAATTCATAAAATAGTATTTTTAAGAACATATGAGGAAATACAGTGAACACAGGTTATCCTCACAGCGATTTTGGTATTCTGCACACACAGTCATCTGCAAAAAATAATCTTCACACCCATCATTTGTTTACATGTTTATTACTCTGCTCACTTTCAGGTGTTACCACAAGAAGGTCACTCAATTATAAAGGCAATATAAAATGCTACGTTCCCACAAAATTCAACAACAATAACAAAAAACCTTTCTCAGAAAATATAAAAATATTAAATAACTTACACATTTCTTTCTTTTACTTACTTTTATAACAAATTGATAAAAAAATGTTTTGCCTTGAACAAAAACCATTTGAATGTAAATTTTGCAGAATTACACAAAAACATGAAAATGGAATGGAGTTGCTTAATTTATAAACTTAATGTGTACCAATAACTAGTTTGCAAGCTGAGGGACACAACTGAGAACAAAATTAAAATACTCTGCTATACATAATGCATCAATAACAAATGAGAAAAGCAATTTACCTACAGTATTCTACAATACTGTAATTATGTGTACAAAACAAGAACAAAATACATAGCAAACTGAATACAATTATTTCATTGACATGCTTTGCTACAACATCATGCTTATGGCAATGAGTATCACATTAATCATTAGAGTGCCAAGGAACAATTTTGCGCTTCTTCTGTGTCGTTCGAAAAGTATCAGCGCTCTAGGCTGCAAAGATGATAGCCGCAGCACGCTCGGTTTCTATTGATGCGCAACTTTCCAGTTATCATTCCATTTCAGGTAAAAGTAAGAGATTCAATATTTTAATATTATTTAAAGATGCTGATATCTGTACTCATGCTCAGAAAGACGTCAGAACAAAACTGAATTGAAATAGCGCTTGTTCGCATTTTTAATCAGAGAATAAGACAAGCGAAAAAGCACTCCTTGGCACTTTTGGACAGGAAAATAGTAGACACATGGTACTCAAACAGTTAAAAAATATTAGGCTGCAAATTTTAGCCGGAAGAAACACTGAAATTTGGACCAACTATGGATACATACAAATTTATAAACAGAGTGAGTTTTTTATTTTCAAAATGGGATACCTTTCAGTAAAATTTTGGCTTTACCTTGAAACTTGCCTATTTTAAAGTATGAGGAAAATGTTTGCTGATGTATGAGACAAGGCCCTGTACTGTATAAATAAAACATCACTTCAAATAAAAAATATTTACAAAAAATTGTGTTACAACTTTAACACTTAATTTCTATTTAACAGTATGAATTAATATTTAGAAATAAAAAATTAAAATCTCTTTATTTACGTACAATATATTCTATGTTTCCAAGATGCTGTAAGTTTACATTACACCTGAAGATATTTATAATAGCAACCATATAAATATCTTCATAAAAATTAGCTGTCTTTCATAAAAATTAGCTGTTATGTTAGATATTATTAGTTTATTACTAATAAGATTCAACATAATAAAAGATTCTCAACAAACCTCACATTTTCACCAGTATCATAAGCTTTTGCAAGAAAAATCATTGCTGCTCTATCACCAGCACATGCAGCTTGTTTCATGTAATCCATCCCAATTGCAATATTTTCTGTGCTTTCCTTTAACAAAAAATTGTTTAAAAAATCTCAAAATACACACATATTATGCAAAAATAAGTAAATTAATTAAACAATTTTTCCACAGTATCACATGGAAAAACAAACATAGATTTCGAAATACAATTAAACCTGCATAAAGTAAAAAAAATACAGCTTGATCTCTTGCATCATATTGAAAGTATAATTTGTCTTCGGCCATAACTTTTTTTAATACATCCTTATACTATCTGCTGGATCCTAATTTTATATGCTAGTCATGAATGCATTTCAAATGGCTTTATTTTGTATGAGAAAATGGCTTCCCTTAAGAAAAAGCAATTATCTCTGATATAACCAAAATTTATTATATTACCATTCTTAACAAGCTTACTTATATTTTATCACACAACTCTCTTACCTTGACAGTACTATATTTCCATTAACTAAAGTTTATTAAGCAGTGGAGTTACTGTTAAAATTGATAAACAGGCTTCTATTATTAGACATGTGAACTATAGCACCTGAATCAATACAGCAATAACCACGCAAATTAAAGTTTCACATTAGTTAAACACTGATTATTAGAGTCATGCTGTGCTTTATTGGTATCATTTGAATTCACAGCTGCACTAAGTTACTGCTTTTGATTATACTTAATTTTCTATCTGGCATATTCTCTACAAACACATAAGAACTTCACTTTTGTTAGCAGAAATGTTGCAAGTAAAAGGATACATTAGCTTTATTTACACTACCTGAATGAAAGTATTAACTTTCATTTGAGTAAGTGTACTTTTCCAGTAATTTATTTTTAACTAATTCTATCATTCAGTCTCCTGGCCTAGTCCTTAAAGCAGTTATTAACATAGCGTATTTTTATGTAAGCTTCTTAAAATAAAAGCAACTAATAATGGTTTCTGAAATCTTCATATTTAGCATTAATAGTTGATGAACAACAGCTTACATTTTTATCAGATAACATTCATTTGTTCTTTATTGCTGTAATGTAAATTACACAGTCTTTTTAGTAGTCGAGCTTTTTAGGATAGTATTGACTTTTCAGGTACTACTGTATACTAATTGTATTCTATGTCTCCCTTGTAAGCGTTCCCAATTTTCGAAATCCATTTTGCTGTAATTGGATGTGTTAAATCTGTAGTTATAACATCTGATAAATCTTCCTTAACCCTTTCGCTAGGGTGCAACTTTGTTTAAGACACTCGTGCGGGACAGAAGGGAATCAAAGGCAGTCACCATACAGGACAGAGGTTTTGCATCGCTAAGCCTAATTTTATTTAAAAAAAAAAAAAAAAAAGTTTCACTTCTAACATTGTAATTTTTGGTATCATTTTAGGAAATCCTTTTCTCCAATGAATACGTCATTTTCAACAGTTTCCTATAGAATCTGCTGTTCAGCTCTCTACTGTTCATTGAGTCACAAATTATAAGTCCTTCTAAGTCAAAACATCAACACTTTCTACGAAAGCATATTTTGATGATTTGCATAAATCAGAACTGAAAAGACCAGTAGACGGGACTTGCAGCACCATCTGTTGGAAATTTTTTAAGTTCTAAATTTTTGAAAACTGTCAATCCATTTTAGGACAGCCTGTAAACAGAATACCGTAATTTCCGGATGAAAGGCCACATCAGCATAAACACTGCACTCAAGAAAAATGGTGGGGAAAAAAATAAAATTACACAGAAATACCACATCAGCATAAACACCGCAATAAATTAAATTGTATGTAACATCGTCATGGTCCTTACAGATGCAAAATCTTGACCTGTTCTGACATATCAGTTAAGAAAAATGCATAAAATGAAACAATAACTAAAAAAATAATCATAGGTAAGAAATTTTGAAACAAGTGTCACAAATGAACATACACCATAAATTTTGCTTGTAAATGAATTTTTGCAGTCAAAATTGCCATTTCCTTTTCTTGTTGCTCCTTTATCCAGTTCACAGAGTTGTCCTCTAGATTCAGCCACCTTGCAGTACTTCTTTTGGCTCATTTCTGTTGTGGCATATTTATAAGTTTTTTTTTTTTTTTTTTTTTTCCCCAGTTCTCCAACATTGAATGCATCTTTCATCCACTTCAAACTCTCAAGCTGCTGCTCTATTTCCAATTTGTTCAGCATGTGAAATTACATTAAGCTTAAAATCAGCAGTACAGCTTCTGTGCCGTTAAGGTGTTATTTTCAAAGTTTTTCTGTTCCCTTCTTACTTAAAAACTATATAAGAAAAATCGATTTGTCCTGAAGGGGCAATATGTCAGAGTTTGCTATTGCAATGCAGGTGAGTCGTGTGCACCTTCAAAAAAATATCAAAAACAATATCAAAAAAATGCAGTAGATTTACAATGGAAAAGGCAGGGGAGAGAATGGGTCCAATGGCAGAAAAGATAGACTATTCAAGCTGATAAGAATGCTGATTTGAAAGAGGAAAGAATGTTATTATTCTGAGATCCCGTTTAAGGTGAATAAGGTATGTAGGTCCATTCAAGGGAAAGAAGTAGACAAAATAAAGTTCGCAGAAAGGAACTGAGTGGTCATGTGGAAACTACACCAAACTATGTACAATGACACAGTCATCCAAACTATATACAATGACATCATAGGAAATATTTTTTTTAAGTGCACCTAAGCGCCGCATGGGTAGAAACATTGCACCCAGTGAAAATTTTAAGTTTTAGACATGCAAATGCTTCTTTTGGAAATTATGATACTTAACATAACTTACAATAAAATCAACATAAATTAAATACTTACATCAACTGTTACTGCAGATAGTAAGTCATGAGGAATGCTTAAATACACCTTAGCCATAACATTGATAGCTTCCAAATTCCCACACCTAGCTGCTTGTTTCAAATGATAAAATGCAGCTTCATGATCATAATCTTTATTTTCTGGTGTAAAGCGACCAATTTCATGATATTTTGCCAGGTCCATGTGAATCTGAAACAAAATAGATTAAGATATATTTATGAATAGAATGTTACTCATTTGCCAAGAAATGCAGTTCATTTAGTGATAAAATTTTAAGATCTTGTTGATTACTTATATTCAGACTTCTTCTGAGCAGGCTCCTATTAACATTTTGAGTAATTCTGATTTTTTTTTTAATAAAAGACTTTGGTATGAAGTTAGTCCACAGCTATTTCCATTGGTCATTTCAAATTAACTTGTGTAATGACTATTGGAAAGATGTATCAGCATTAACAGGTCTTATGATAGCAGCTCACAATGCATCAAATTACAACAATTCCATCAACTCAGCTTCACTATCTTTCCTGTATGTGCTGTACCAACTTTCATTGAGGTTTTTCCTTCTTTATTCCAGCAATTGTTTTATATGATATTAATATATGTTATGCATTTTATACACAGTACTTTTCTTATTACTCAGAATTATGCCGGGGTGTTTTCCTCGACTACTTGGATATAAAATCCACTTGAATTAACTGAGTTAAAATCTTAATTTAACTAACTAATTGAATCAAATTTTCACTCAAGTAGACTGAGCAGACAAAACACAATTCAGATTTCCTTAATTGTTGGTGATTGTATCAAAAAAGACCAATACCACTTGAAAAGTCAACCTTTTCCCCCAGAATCAGCAATAATTAAATTTATTAAGAAAATTTTCCCTAAAATGTATCTTTAACTGAACAATACTTTCAACATATCACAATAGTTTTCAAATTACAATAAGTTTTTATGCTATTTTTTTACGAAGATAATCTTCCTAGTTATTAAAGTATACATATTGTCTCTTGTTACTAACCATTGCAAAGATCATCTCATGCCCCCAATGTATGCAAACTGAGAGTGATGAATAACATTTCAACCAATTAAGACCAAGTACAGCATTAATTCATTTTAACAATTTACAGAAAATTTTCATATGCTGCACTAATGATGGTCATAAAAAAATTTTCAATTCCTCAGCAATTTATTACAAAGCTGTATCCAGGTTGGACATTAACTTTCTTGTTCGCATCATTGATCTTTCCATTCCTAAGTACATCTGACAGATCCTAAAAGGCAGCCTCACATTTTCTACACTAGTCATACAATATATTCTTTTCTTATTATTACATCACCAACCTGCACAATAGTTTCTCAAGCATATGCTGCATTTCCCTACATTCAAACATAAATTAAATTTTATATCTTATGCAGATTCAAATCAAATAATGGTTACAGAACATATTTTAGTTTGGTTTGACTGTATTTGTTTTGATTTTCTTCATATTTATGGATTTCCAGTTAACTAAATCCTATAGATGAAGGAAGAGAAATGATGCTGCAGAAAAATTTTTAATGTTTTGGTTCTGAGGTGGAAAAGTCTAAGATAGAAAGTAAGATATTATGTACAAATGCTTTATTCCACCAAGTGCTTAGTTCCAAGGGCTTATGGTATAATTAACACTAATGTAGTTAGGAGCAGTCTTGCTCAAAATACAGCTAGACGTTCTGTATTCTTTGCCATAAAAGGTTAATTCTTGCATCTTTCATAATTTTATAGCTTATGCAGATTCAAAACATGTGAATTTAGCAAATAATGGTTACAGAATATATTTTAGTTTGGTTTGACTGTATTTGTTTTGATTTTCTTCATATTTATGGATTTCCAGTTAACTAAATCCTACAGAAGAAGGAAGAGAAATGATGCTGCAGAAGAATTTTTAATGTTTTGGTTCTGAGGTGGAAAAGTCTAAGGTAGAAAGTAAGAAATTATGCACAAATGCTTTATTCCCAAGTGCTGAGTTCCAAGGGCTTATGGTATAATTAACACTAATGTAGTTAGGAGCAGTCTTGCTCAAAATACAGCTAGATGTTCTATATTCTTTGCCATAAAAAGTTAATTCATGCATCTTTTCATATATAAAGTATAAAATTTTTCTACACAAATCTGTGATGTTAACAAAAGAGAAAAGACTCAATGTAACGTCAGGTGTTAATAGAACCTATGGAATTATTTTTCTTAATTAAACTAGGTTTAAAAGTGCTGAGGTTGACAGTATATCTTAACCTTGACTTACGACCCTACAACTAAGCTAGTTATGTTGGTTACTGGAAGTTGATATTACAAGTTGGTGGACCTGAGCTTAAATCGAGAACAAGACATGCACATTAGTGATTAATCTGTTAAACTGTGATCTTGCTTAAGGAGTTGTGATTGGATACGATGGGTACTAGACCTATGGATTCCATATACTGAGATGCTATCAAAGATAACAAATTATGGTTAGACAGCCTTTATATACTTTGCCTAAATTAAATAATCCAGTTCCAGATTTTGCATAACACTGTCTATAAAATTTATATTCTACCCATAAGCTAAATGTTAATACAACTTCAGAAAAGAATGACTTAACTTTGTCACTCAAATCCCAAGTTCATTTTCCATCAAAGAATCAAAACTCTTGATTGATGATGAAAGTCTATTTGCATTATAATATAATAATATGTGTATAAAAACTCACTTGGCCTAAAACAGAATTTCCGAATTTTTTATTTTCATTGTCATTCTGCAATTCACGTATCTGAATTTCGTTCTGAACACAAGATGGCCTAGATTTGCGTGCAACCAGCTCTCCAAATTCCACTCTTTCATTTTCCTGCAAATAAAGAGCATTTCACTTTAAAGTAACTTAATGATATTACAAAGCAAAATGAATAAAATCTTTAAAAGAAATATGTATACCTTCTAAAATGCAATTACTCCATATATATATACTTACTTCTGTTACACTGCATTCAGATTCACACCTACGCCGTCTCCTCTTTTTAGCTGATCCAACTCCCGAATCGCTGTTACATCCTGGGAAAGGATAGTGATGTTCCTCTGCCCCAAGGCCAGCATCTTCATCATCATCATCTTCATCATAGCTAAAACTACCATTTCCAAACCCTTCTGTGCTGCTGTCTTTATTTGAGTGCATACTTTCACTAGATTCAGACATATATGAAAATGAGCCAGATGTTGGGCTGTTGCCAGAAGCAGAACGTGAACGAATGTATTCTTTCCAATGAACTCGCTCTTTATCAGATGGACTGATGCACAAATCTTCAGTTCCTCGAACCCTAGTTTTGCATGTCATCTATAGAAATAAATTTCAAAACAGTCAGTGGAAAAAGGCACAAATATTACTAAGGCAGCATGAAACAGATGGCAAAATTAAAAAAAATTAATGTGTTAAAATATTATTTACAGAATTCTATCATTTGCATGTTTCCAGCATACAATTTTAGAAAGATCCTATTACTATTAAATCTGATGATACATACAGTTGTTTGCACTAGAGCAAATTTAACAGTATAAGGCTCTAGCCTACATGAACTTATCTCACCCCACACACACATTGTAAGCTTTATTTTTAAATATCATCATAGACTCGTATTTTCTATTTTTCCTGGATTCCTCACAGTTAATTCTGTCAACTTATTATGGCATAATTACTTCTGCATTTTTGTAACAGTTCTAAGAACAACTATTCTATTAATTCTATCACAACTTAAAAATATGTGATTACACAACATTTTTAACTAGTCATTTAATTTCATGTTATAATTTAGAAAACAAATGCAAAACATCAATATGGATCTGAATTCACTAGGTAATGGCAAATACCCACTAAATTAATCTGTCTAAGGAAAAGAATACATTTGTGAAGGATTTCTTATGGAAACTGGCCTATATTCACATTACATGTTAAGAAAACCATGAATACACCAATATAACCAGCCCATTTGATTCAATTCCATTTGAATCATAGCACACTAACAGTAATCAGCAGCCTTATTTGCTCAGCTGCTGTGGGCTATAGATCCCCCTTTGTAAACCTCTAGTGATATTTGGGAAAATAAGATGTCTATGACTTTTTTTCAGACAAGACATTGTATTTTTAAGCATAAGCTTCAGAGCTTATCAGGTCTTTTCTCTGGAAATGAAACGCAGAATTTTAATGAAACAGAATAAAAGTGAAACTGTCAACAAGCATATTTTTCAACTTGACAGACTTTTAGTAATAAAACTTCATCTTAAAAAAAGAAGAAAAATCTGATGAAATGATAACTAACACCAACAACAATTTTTAATTTAAACACACTAAATATGTTTTATGCTACATAATATGTAAGTTATAATACCTGCAGCATGAAAACAAAGAATATTTAGCATATATACATACTTTTTACGAAAAAAGAAGAAAAAAAGCAAATTTAAATAAATTCTCCATTCCCTTACTATAAGTACAGTTCTTTTCATGGCTGGAAACAAGGAAAGAGGAATTTATATTCTTCATATGGAAATTAACATTCTGAATTTCAAAAGTATGTATGTCAATAAAATTTGTCTCCCATCCCATCCCCCAAAAATTGTCAGTTTTCTTTGCTTTTAATACTGAAAATAAAACATCAGCAGAAAAGATTTTCAAATTTACAAATATATAAAAACTTGTAAAACATGATTAGTTGATTATACTATGTTTCACAGGTTATTAAATAGTTAAATAGCAATAGGAAAATATACAAGTAAATGAAAAAATAATGTATACATATCACCAATTAATATATATGAATGCTATTTCAATGAAGCATCTTCATTTCTAATACTTAATACCTAGTTCCAACACAAAACATTAAATACCTGTAGTTTTGCCAATTTGTTATTCTGCATCATCTCAGTAGATGCAAGATCAAATGGTGATAGACCAAGACTTTGGCATATAGCATTACATATATGGGAATGAAAAAATAATGCCATCCCACGAGTACCCAGGTTACCATCACCATAGCCTACACCAGAAGCTGTATGAATTTGAGGATCAGTATACAGATCTCCAACACCTTGAATATCTACTACTATTAGCTCATGTCCTGATCTCTCAAAAGTAAAATGACTAAAAGCCTGAAATATACACAATACATTACACAACAGCAATTTTGTTAACAAATACACAAACATTTGAAATTAAAAACAAATTATTTGAGTATAGTCACTCTTATTTCTCTTTGCCCCTCCAAAAATATCTATCTAATTTAATCAAATATTCATTACAAATACATATATATGCATCATTTCTTATTAAGAACATAACTTGTGAAGTTAGTGTGCATACACTTAATTCCAAATCAAAATGAATCACACTTCATAAGTTTTATTTTTTGAAATAAAATGCACAATATGAAATTAAGTCATTTTTTGAAACAAAATGCATAGCATGAAATTAAGTAGTTAGCAAATACTTAATCATGCATACTTATTTTGCAAAAATGTGAAAAATCAGTATCATTTTTCACTCAACTAAACTAATAATGAACTCAATTACATTCAGAAGCAGTAGTGGTGAAAATTTCTATTACACTTCATTGTATAAAGCAAGTTTGAACACCTAAAATTCTCTATTGGCTGCCAATGATTAAAAAAATAATAATAACATAAATACATGAAGTTTCAGTTCACGAAGAGGCTGAAAGAGCCTTCTAACATACTGAAATATATATTATATTTATATTTTTAATAGGACCTATTTTTAACAAAAATCAATTTAATAATAAATTAATACTAGCAGTGAAGAGTTATTTGTATTATGACAGCTACAGAAAACTATGAAGAAATGTTATAAACTTAAAAAGTTAAATTACTGATAGGCAAAACACTTAATTTAGTTATATTCACAAATTAGCCATCTTTGTGCATAATACTAAATTGTAACACACTGAGCTACAAGCTCTGCAAAATATTACTCTGCATTAAATTTCAAATAGCAGATGATTCCTGGAAATATCCTTACACATGAAGGATTAGATGTGAAAAACTGTCAAGAATTTATGGCAGAATTGACTAAAAAATTCTTCAGTAATATTAATAAAATAAACAGCAGCTCTAATGCCGGCAATACTTCAAATTCCCCCACAGTCGCCTTCTAGGTCAGTCTCCAGATAAGTTGTATCCTCCTCCACACCACAGATGCAGTTCATCATAGCTTCCTGTTATCACAACAGTAACCCAATTGTAAAAGACTGATATAGCATTCTTATGGTTTTCATGCATGGAGAAAGATTCTAATATTTTTTAAGTTCATCTAAGAAAACATACTTGATGTATCAATATTATACTTTTGATTTTTCCCATTATTACACATGGGAGTGAGCTACTGCTAATGCACCTGCTTATGTGACATTGCTCATCTTAGCTTAAAATAATAATTCAATGTCTTTTAAAAATGATGCAATAAAATCACATACATATTTAAATATGCAGTGCTGAATAACACTTTTTTTTAATTTACAAAATCACAAATCATACTTATAAAAAATTAAACTTACTTGAGGAGTCAACCTCATTTTTTCACAACTGATAAATCCAGAGTTAGAATTATACTTTATGTAATCACCTTCGATATAATGCTCAAGATGAAATAGTGGTCTTCCAGGTCTCTGGAAAAATTCTATCACAGACATTTGAAATATATCAACCTGAAATAACAGAAATAAAATAGAATAAAAATATGATAAATATAACAAAAATAATAAATAAAAGTATATTGAAATTTATATTTATTTTATTTTTACTGGTGTATAAAAACATTATAAAAATTTTAAAGCAATGTATAAAATTTTTAATTATAATTCACATACACTGCAAATTTAAACCATAATTAAACTGAAAGTATATTGAAGAAATATTGTGAAAGTATAATGAAAATACTTACTACTAAATGCCGTAAAAAAAAAAAAAAAAAAAAAAAAAAACTCAACACTCTTAAACTAATTATTTTATTACCATCGTTTTAGCCATTATTTCAAAATGAAACACATGGAATTCTTTTCCATACAAAATTAATATCATTTGCACATTAAAGAATAATTACATTTTTAGCAAATATTATATGCATTATTTTCATGTATAAGATTTTATTAACAGTAAAACTCATAACAACACAAAGAAAAATAACTCACACTTTTAAAAGTACTTAAAATTAGACTAAAAGGACTACTTAGCAGCATGCTGTTTACAAATGTCATATGATAAAAACTCCCTAGAAAGCTGGAAGCTCACAATAAAAAATATTGTAGAAAAAAAACAAACCACGGATATCATCATCGAACATCATGATCGAAAATAACGCTATTCAAAACATCACTATTGAATATATTATAATAAGAAAATAAAGCAACTACAAATAATCATCACATAATGATAAAATCACACATGTGCATTTTCTAGGCCTTAACAGTTGTAAATGCATATCTGCATAATGATTTTGAAAGCAAGATGGAATGAGGAATATTTTTGTTTTTATATATTTTAATTAACTAGTAAATTTTTGCTAATTTGATATACATAATAGTTACAACTCCTAGAAAAGCTGAAAGCTAATTTGATACAAAGCAACAATAACATTAGAGAAAATTTTCAGAATTAGAACTATTTCTTGATTTCAAATCAAAATTTTGTATTTAGAAGACATGTACTAGTACTATTGATTCCACTTTTTTTTTAATTTAAAATATAATTAATTGCATCATCTGGGTTATAATAAAAGTTAAGATGAAAAATATGCATATTGTAACTACAACATAACTGAATATGCACATTTATTTCTTCTCCCGTTTATATTCATTTTAACTCTTTGAGGGGCAGGAAAAGGCAATTAATTTTTCCAGCAAAACTCTTGTTTTATTTACTATATCAGGTGTTACAATGACATTATTTGTGACAACTACACATATTTTGCACAAGACGCATGAAAAAAAATTACCACTCCTGCCCACAAGACACATCTCTACAAATCAGTCTCTATGGTACTCATGGAAACATTTTTTCTTTTTCAAGCAGAGTGCAACTTTGCATATGCTGTATTCCCACACTGTTCTTTCAGGCTTTTTCTTGGTGCTGCAGAGTGCATACCATTGTGATGTTTGTTGTCTTCAATGGATGATTCTTATTTTCTTGAAGATGAATTACTGCATCAACTACTGGCTTATGTTCCTTTATTGCCAACTACAAGGGAACTTCAGAAACGATCAGTCTTGAAAACCACTCACATGAAAGAAATAGAAAAGAAGAAGTTCAATAGAAAAGGTGGGTACTATAGGTAACCACTGCTCTTCAAAGAGTTAAACGGGTATCAAAATATCATTCTGAAGAAGAATAAGTACATTTTGGATTTTTTTCACAGGTCAGTTTTCAATAATGATGATTTACCAGTGTTATATAAGAAAAGGTAAATGTGTGTGCCATGGGTGCTGTCACCTGACCAATGTTCACATTTATAGAATGTTAAATATTTCTTATATTTAAATTTTTTTTAAATTTCTTACATTCATTACTGTTTATATTTGATGAAAGTATCTCAATGATTTGCCCTGGATACCTTCATCTGTAAAAATTTCTATTGTTTTGAGTAGTAAAAAAGGTCCCAAATTTTTTTGTTCTTCCGATATATTTATTCAAAAGGTTTATACAAATGGTTAACACACAAAGATACCAATTCAGTATCTGATAACCTTGGTAAATGTCAAAATTCTTTATTTAATTACTTTTTACCTAGAAGGTGTGGATGGCAATGATTTATAATGCAATTTAAAATGATACATTTAAAATTGTGAATTTTAAGATTCCCATAATGTAACCCTAGGATGTTATAAATCTTATTATTATGATCTAATTTTATGATTTGCAGTTTGTGAACTGTTTTGATACTGTTTTAAGATGAATGAGGTTTATGTCATGTGTTGCCTAGTTTAGTTATTGTTTACTTTAGTTATTATTCATTTTTACTTTACCTATTATTTCAGCGTTAGCAATGGCACTAAAAATGTGTGCAATGTGGACGTGCAATTGCAGCTGATGATATTCCAAAAATAATAATTATTTACTTTCTTATTTGGTTGCAGGCAGAAACATTGTGAAAAAAACAACAAAAGGTGAAAAGCTCACAATAAAAAATATTGTAGAAAAAAAACAAACCACGGATATCATCATCGAACATCATGATCGAAAATAACGCTATTCAAAACATCACTATTGAATATATTATAATAAGAAAATAAAGCAACTACAAATAATCATCACATAATGATAAAATCACACATGTGCATTTTCTAGGCCTTAACAGTTGTAAATGCATATCTGCATAATGATTTTGAAAGCAAGATGGAATGAGGAATATTTTTGTTTTTATATATTTTAATTAACTAGTAAATTTTTGCTGAAAAGTTAAGAAGGAAACTTAAGCATTCAGAATTTGAAAATGAACAAAAAACTAATGATACTTATCAGCAATTAACATAATCTTATAATTTGATAATTATTAAACAATTTTAATAGAGGTAATTACATGCAGTTACTCATCTTCCTCTTCCTATTCTTTTTTAGGTTACATTTTGCATACAAAATTACCAATAAAACTTTACAAAAGAGATTAATAGTTAATGACCTTTATTAGTTACTATACAAGTTTAAAATTCTGTTAACTGCTATACCTAACATTATTTTTCTACTTATTTTCAGTTTTCGAATTTCCTTCTCATTTTTTCAGCAAAAATTTATAATTCAACACCATGAAATATAAAAGTAAAAATATTTCACATTCCTTCTTCAGTTCACAAATCATTATGCAAATACGCATTTACATCTTTGAAATCCCGAAAAATGCATGCCTGTGATGTTATTGTCATGTGATGATTTGTTAGGTGTTTTAATTTTCACCACAATATTTTCCATAGCGATGTTTTTAAATTGCAAAAATTTTTAAATGCTTTACTTTCAATTAAGATGCTTTAAAATTGAGATGTTTTCTCCCACAATGTTTCCACTGTGTATGAGTTCCCCTCCCCCCACTTTCTGATTACCTGCCCACCCTGAAACAGAATTCATCATGCAGTGTACCATGTAACTTAAATAACCAACCCATGATGTCATCCAAACACATTTATGTAACAACCCAGTTATGTACAGGTGTGCAGCAGATGAGTGACAGTCATTATTGTTTGTTTTTGTTGCAATAAGTACATATTTTAATCTTTAATCTATCAATCTGCAGCAAAATTGAGGAGTTTGCTGACTGATAAAGAAAGCATTGCATTTAATCAAAAATAAATGTTTTTGCGTAACAGTAGGGAATGCTTTAAAAAAAAAAAAAAAAAAAAAAAATTAATTCTATAAACTTGTATTTTGCTAATGATCAAATTTTACGGATCAAAAGTTGAGTGCAAAAATTGTGGGTACCATTAATTTCTGCAATTGTATGATTTTCTTTAAGCAAAACCAGATCACCGTATACATGAAAAATCAACAGTATGTGTAATACCAAATTTCTGAAATTTGGAAATTGTTTTTCAATCTGATGTTTTTCAAAGCAAAGCCAGATAGGTGGAGAATAGCAGGGGAAAAGAAAGGTTAGTGTTCTGCTATGGATGATTCTTGTATTTTTAATTTTGCTAATAAGTTTCTGTTTACATAATTCTTCGTGCACTGCCATTTTTGAAAATGACTAGTATCTTTCATGTCAAAGGTTGGCAAAAAAAATTAGTTGCTAACGACTGCTGACTTTTTGGGGAGAGGAGCTGATAACCAGAAAGTACCCAAATTTTTTTTAGTTCAAAATGCAAAACTTAATCACTGACTTAAACATTCTGTTTTTTTTTTTTTTTTTTTTTTACAGATATACCTAAAATGCAGAGCTTAAACATTCTGCTTATTTTACAGATGCAGCGGACCACACAGAGATAAGTAAATCGTGTGTGTGGTGCCTATAATTAACTGCTTGTAGCCTTTACAATATGTCACACGGCATGTTTTTGGCATCACAGAGACATAACTTCATGACTAGTGTCAGGACATTTTAACGTTCTGCACCGTGCCTATCGGCAAAGCCTCTTGATTTCAGCAGGGGAGATGAACCAAACCCCAGTACTGGAGGTTTTGGTCACTACTGTGAGAGTGACTGTCAGGTTACCCTGTGTTGAGTGGCTGCAGGTAGAGTATCTGACTCCTTAAAATGATTGGGTAAGGTTGCAATGTCGCGTACTCCACTGCATTTTAAACTCAAACATATTTATTACAATTACAAGTAACTCTTTACAAATACATATATATAATTCATAGATAGCACAGATAAGTATTAAAATGAATTATAGTCCTCGTAGTGTGAGGAGTCTGCTAACAAAGTTCTCTCTAGTCAAGAGCTCAAGAGCATCGTAGGTCTCTCTAGTCAAGAGTTCAGGAAAGTTCTTCTGATGTTACTCCTATGGCGAAAATTTTCAGACTGAATTAGCTACGCCTCCTCATTTTTATGCCTATTGATATTAATCCTTCCTTAGCCATGCTTCCTTATACACACTTTACATCCTCCAATTCGTTATATCCAGAAAGATATCAGAGGGAAAATCAGATCATTGTTTTGTCAGCCCTGCTGAAATCGAGAGGCTTTGACGAAAGACACGATGCAGAACGTTAAAATCTTCTGACACTAGTCATGAAGTTATGTCTCTGCGATGTCAAAAATATGTCCTGTGACAAATCATAAAGGCTGGGAGCAGTGAATTGCGGGGACTGCACACACGATTTACTTATTTCTATGTGGTCCGCCGCACATCCTTACTATTAATTTTTATGCAATAAACATTTGACATATGCATAAATAATACTGAAAATGTCACACAGAAATGGAAGAATATCATAAATAATAATAATACATTGAAATACATAGTATAAATTACATTGAAATATATCATAAACAAGACTACACTTTCTTTGACCAAGAATGGGAAAGTGAATCAAGAGTTAAATTAAGCTTTCCTCAGTATATTATGCTACATGTTATCAGCTGTATGACATAAATATTAAATTCATGCTTTTTTAACTCATAAGCACCATACACTTGGAACAAAACTACCACAGGCAGGAAGAATTTCATATAAACAAGACAGACTAACTATACCACTTAACTACAACAAGACTAACTATACTAACTAACTATACTAACTTAACTACAACAAGACTAACTAAACAAGACTAACTATACCACTTATGGTCATTTTCCACACAATATAAATCAGAAACCTATTTCAGAGTCTCTTTCATACCTCTCTTTGTCAGAGGAAATTTATTAGTGTGGGAGCAATTTTACCAGTGCTCATTTTTAAAATAAATATATGAATAAGCACCATAATACTTATATATATTCTGTACACAGTAAAATAAATAGTTATGCTGAAACATATTTATTTTTGAACAAAAGTGTTTCAAAAGAAAAGAATTCACATGAAGTCAGCAGTTAACAGTAAAATATGATAAATCTGATATAAATGTACCAATTAATAAAAAAGTTATGAATCACTTTCAATCTAAGTAGATTCCTCTGATTACCTGTAAAACTTCTGTTTCCTTTTTAACCATTGTTTAATTTTTAAAAATTTAATTTGTGAAAATACTTACCAACTCCATGCACTAATGTTTCATGAACAAAGGTTTAAGCAAGTTGTCTCTATTAAGAATCTTCCATTGCAATATTTTTTGCAAAAATGTATGAAGATTAAATGGGAAATAAAAAAAATATTAAAAAAATGCAATTACTTTTGAGAATGTTTCAAATAAAATAATAAAAATTTCATTCTCTTCTGCACTTCTACAATCCCCCAGCCCTTTATATTGCATTAAAAAAAATCATCTTTACTAAGTTTCATAATTTCGGGTAGATAAGCCACAGCTTATAAGTGTTTAAAAGGTTGAAAATTTAGCTCTGTGGTGTAGCTGAAGGAATTTTATTGTTTTTCTATCTTTAAAACTTCTAGTTTATGCACAAGTGAAACGACTCATGTAGAATCCACTGCAACATTTTAGCCTGACGCAAGCACTCAGGTTGCAGTATGGCAATGCAACAATTCGAATTTGTGTGAAACTCTAACTTTCAGTGTAAAGACACCATTATCCTTGTACTTTCTGCTGAACTCCACAATTTTATCTGCATTTGCCTACGACCATCTTTTATTAGCAGGCCACAAGAACTTTTAATTCAGCAAGTTCTGCGCTAAGTTTGCCAATGTCTCACTGCTTCGTGGCTTGCATATTTCTTACTTGTTGTACTGTTTATTTTACCACTCATGCTCGTTTAATTTTTTTAAATTATTATTATTACTATTATGGCTTTTACTTGAAGAAAAAGCTATACAGCTCCCTTTAAGCTTTTGACAGGGGAAAAGCTGAAGAAATTGGAAACTACATTGCGGCTACAGGATTTCAAGTTGACCAAAGATGCATCTGGAGGTGGAAATCCAAGCAAGAATTAAATAAAATGCCTAAGAATAAAAGATCTTGTCATACTGGCATCATATCCTGGCCTGTTTTGGAACAGAATTAGAGAAATGAACAACAGAGCAGAGAAAAGGGATTATCAGTGTCTTCGTGTTTCAGATTTATGAAACGAAAGAAATTATGTCAGGACCAAAACAACACTTTGGTAAAAGCTTCTTAGGGAATGGTTTGAAAACAAAAAAAAGGATAGCTTTTATAGAGTACACAACAAAATTTGAATTCAGAGAAAATAATTAATATGGATGAAGGGCCCGTTACTTTCGACTGTCCTCTGAGCAGAACTGTTCTTTCAACAAGTGAAAATAACTATTCCTGTGTTAACAACTGGGAATAAAAAGACTTCTTTTACCAGTCTTTTCAGATGTATCGCCAATGGAGCCTTTGAACAAACCCCTTTGATAATTTTCAAAAGAAACACAATTCCAAAAAGAAACCTCTCTAAGGAGGTTACTATTTGCATCAACAAAAAAGGCTGGGTGTGCGAAGAAGTAATGTTGCTTTGCCTCAAAGAAATTTATCGATAAATGAAAGGTGCTTTTTTGCAACTTCAGGGACTTGGCGCTCTAGATTCAGTGTGATCCCATTTAGTGGGTACAGCAAAATCTGAAGAAAAAAAAATTAGCAGCAATGTCTCAGTGATACTAGGTGGGCTTACAAAAATTTACAGCCAGTGGATCTCACCATCGCTAGAACTTTCAGCACAAACTATGAAAGCAGTAGGAAGAATAGATGTAAAGCGGGCTTCAATCCTCCACAAATTCTGGAACGATAAGAAAAGCTTCATATAAGGAGGCTGCCTGGTGAAAGTGATCTTGATGTTCATTTGTCAAGTTTATTTAATTCTGATACGGATGAATTGGATTTTGAAGGTTTTGTATAAATAAATGTAGTTCATTTTAATTATAGAATTCTGTTTGATTATTTAATGTATTCATTTATTTTTTATATTATGATAATTCACAGTGATAAGCAAAGTTTACCTAACCCATAAAGAAAATGTCTATTGGAAATCAGCAGAGTTCATTTGTGGCAATTTCAAAGTAAGATGCTTATTTTTTATTTATTTACATATTACTTTTTATAGTTGTCACAAATGTTATAAATAATGATTACATTAAAATGAAAAAAAAAAACTTATTAAAAATATATGTAAGTATGTTTTGGTCGGAATAGAGTTAATGATTTTTTATATTATCATAATTCATAGCGGTATTATAAAATGGAGGATAAGAAAACAAAAATTCATAATATAAAAAATTTTCTAATTAATTACATTGCAATGCTTATTTTAAAGAAGGAATTTTTTATAAAAAAACTAAAATACTTTACATTACACTAAAAAATTTGAAAAAAATAATTTTACTTGAAAATAGAATTTAATCATATACTTACAGTCTGTAACAAGATCTCATGGCACCATGACCAAAGGGCTAGAAGAGAAATGTACAGACCAAATGTTTTATATTTTTGAGCATCTGATTACTGCTGCATTATGATTTGATTATTCATGCAATAAAATATTATAAATAAATAGCAATAGCGATAAACAGTCAGGAAAAACAGTCGAATAATTCTTATAACTTATGTATCAACTACTTAATACGTATGAACATTAGGCAGTTAATCTTACAGAGTGAAACTGGTACATTTGTTTTTGCATAAATGTTTATATGCTGAATTACTATGAAAATTAGTAATTAAATTTTAATAAAAATTTAAGACCCTTGGACTGCTCACTGGGATGTCCTTCACAATTGGGGCAGAGGTGCACTGTTAGCAAGAAGAGACTATATCTGTACAACTAATGGTGAAATTCTGGTGTCTCCTTCCACTTACACCTATACCTTTTGGTTTATTTTAAATATGGCAATGTACTTGAGGGCTATCTACCTCTTATACCTGTAAGTTTAATACCTATAATGGTAATTATGTAGTATGCGATCAACCACTTTTAATTACCTAATTACCCATTTTTATACACATTTTTGAAGGATAAAATTTTATTACTGATCATTGTAATGAATTTACAGTATTTTAAATATAAAAAGTAATACAAATACAAAGGAATACTTTCTGCAAATCAATCTATCTGGGAAACAACACCTTTTAATCTTCATCAAAATCCACACAGTTCATTTTTAACATTTTCTGTTCTGTGAGAACGAAACTGATCCCATACTAGTAGGGCAGGTTTCTTCACTGAACTAAACGTAACTGTAATATTCTCCCACTCCACAAGGAAACAAGAAAAAAATTGCATAATTCTCAATAGAGGAAATTTTCAGAAATGAATGTAATCAAAAACTGAGCATTGACGCATAAGACGCAGTAATGTATCAGACACACCCTGTTTTTCAGACCTGTTTTCAAAGAAAAAAAGTGTGTCTTGTATGTCGGCAAATATGGTAGTTATTTTTTAGACAATGGTACTAAAATGGTTTGTTGTTTTAATTATTTCTCTTCCTACCATTTTATAGTATGTTCGAATTTAAGAATAGTGTTTTAGCACTGCCATGTAAGAAATAAATAACTAATTAAAGGGCGCATACTGTATGATTATCCATATAATTTTTTTCAAAAAGGAAAAAGTTAATAATTTATATTTTAATTAATATAAAATTTTAGATTAAAGAACTCTACAATATTATGAAATAAATTATAGATTTAAGACTTCTCATGCATATGTTTAGCTTTTTAAAAATTACGATCAGTTAATCCCCAATCAAAGTTGCTTCTTAAAACAAAAAGCAAGATAATAAATAGAGTACTTTAGAAAGGTTATCTACCCACAAATGCCAAGTTTTATAATTTACAGATTGCAATTACCACACTACAGTAAATCAACTATTTTATAATTTCCTTCATACGCTAGCAGTCTGGTCAAAACATATATAATGATCAATGTGGTTAATCGGTTATTATAAATAATAATAAAATAAACCAGTTAAAATGAATAATTTACGAGAATTTATCACATAAACCAACTATTATTAATAATTTTCAACAATGAATGGTAAATATAATAATTTTCAACATGTTTAGTTTGAAGATTTGCCATTATGTATGTTTATGATAGCTGTTGCAAAAGCATGAGCTTGTTTTTTCTGTTGGCAACAAGTAGACAAAATCAGTTGACTGTTTATTTTCAGGATGCTTACAAATACTTTGCGCTTGACATTTTAATTATTCTATGTACTGCATAGTATCATTTTGGCATTATTTTAAAATTCACTTGTTATGAAATTCATAATTACTTTGAAATTTTCACTAAGTTTACTGTTACTAAGTTAAGTTACTAAGTTAAGTGTTCACTAAGTTAAGCACACAATGGATGATGATACAAAAGCCATAAAGTTCCATTTTTATGGTCATTTCGACATGTTTAAATTGAGGAAAACTTGCCAGTTATTATGCTGAATTAAAAAAGTACAATTCAGCATTTTTGGAGGTAGGAGGGTTAAAGTTAAGGAAAGCAAAGAGAAGACTTTAAAAAAATTATCAAATTTTTATCAATGATTATCATGATATGATATTGATGGTGCTAAAACACTCAGTGTGCCAGTTGAAAAGACCGAAGTATTATACTTTTACAGAGAATGTTTAAGGAATTCATGAGATTCATATTATAACTGGCCACAGCGGGCAAAACAGAATGATGAAAAAGTTTAAGAAAAAGTATAAGAACAACTACAATAGAAATTGCAAAGATATTTTTAAACCTTTGTGAACATTGCGAAAAGAAATAAAGCATTCTGAGAAAAGGTCTTGTCAAATCAATTCAAAGCAGTGAACTTAATTTGCAGTATCAAGTTGATCTCATTAATATGCTATCACATGTGGACAGGAGAGTTTTAACTTAATAAAGGTTTATCATGATCACTAAATGAAAAGTATTCAGTTAGAAGTGTTAAAAAACAAGGAGGGGTAGTCGTTCATTTACTAGATGTGTTCACAAAATTTGGATCACTGCACATCTTCCATAATGGCAATAATCAAGAATTTGCTAACAAAATTAAGAAGTTTGTGGAATGTGGAATGAACTCAACTGTTCATGGAAATATGTAGAAAATCACAAGGCTAACTGAAAATGTAAACCAACACACTGAAAAGATATTACATACATGGCTTGAAACAAAACATGATGAGAAGAAATAAAGTCATTCAGTTTACGAAAAATATAGTGTATCATTCTGGTATAGCTCACAATCCATAGGCAGCTAGATTTAGCTAAACTAAGATAAAACTAAAGTAAGTTTAAGAACCTACCTGGGGGTCAGATATTACAAGTGAAGAATATTTTGCTGTATTAAGAAATCTTTCTTATAATAATGCCAAAATTCAGATGTAATCTCAACTGAAGATCACGATATAGGTGCAAAGAATGATGACAATATGAATGTGAAACTAGGGGATTCAAGCGAAGATTTGGAAGTAATAACTATCGCATGCCCAATCAAAAACAAAAATGCTAGGCAAATAGAAGGAGAACATAATTCTGAAATAGAAAAGACTAATGATTGAAAACAGAAATGCTAGGCAAATAGAAGGAGAACATAATTCTGAAATAGAAAAGACTCAAGATTGAAAACAGAAGCAAAACATTTCACTGATGTTGAAAGATAAAATTATGAAGAAATCAAGAAGACTCTTTTTTTGTACTTGATGAAGTATCAAAAAATATTCAAGATGCTCAATGCACTGTTAAGCAGTCACTTAAGTAAACAGAAACAAAAAAATGTTACAGTTATCGTAGCTACATTTTCGGCTTACAATTATATCAGGAAAATAATACTAGAGGAAGAGAGAGGTAAGACTGACATAAAATATTATAGCTGTTATTATTTCGAATACAAATCAAAATTCATATAAACCACGCACAAAAACACTGCATTTTAACAAACCCTACACAAGGAATGATTTTACTGTCTTCAAAGAAGGTTTTATTTATGCCAATGAAGTTCCAGATACTGAAGTCAAACAGAATGTGGTCATAAAAATTTTAATTTATGTTATCAAGGATTTCAAGAGTGCAACTGCACAAGCAACTAAAATCAAATTGCTTAAAATGTAAAAAGTTAAAATCTCTTCATAACTCTAAATGCCATACAAACTCTTCCAAAATAAATGATTTGTTAAAAATGTAATAATATCGGATTTGTAATGTAACTTGTCTTCACTTTTTGTTATCCTAAGGTATTGTGTGTAATGTAATTTATTTTACAACAAATGTATCTTGTAAATAACAGTAATCATTATTATAAAGCATTTTTACATTGACCAAATTTCACTTCTAATAAAGATGTTAATTATGTAATTTTATTTAATTCCTAACACATGACATAAACATTGCATTAGAGATTGGGATTTTGAACTATCATGCTTAATTAATTGCACTGACCAAAATTCACTGGTAATTATTAATATTTACCATTTAATATTGTAAATGGGGTTTTAAAAAAATGTATTTTCCCGATTGGCAACAACAGAGTTTTTTTTTAAATGGTAATGTTTGATGGCAATGTTTCTGAATAAAGCAAGTATCTAACAATTAATGTTTGACGGAAATGCTTTTGAATAATGGAAGTAATTGCTAACATTTTCAGAAGTGGGATTAACTAGAATTATTACCTAGGATTTAACAACATTTTGCCTTAATGTACGTTAAGCCTAAACCGAATGCGGAAGCTCGCCAAAACTGAAGGTAGAAAGGTACGTGCATTTATAAACTGTTTATGTTATATTTAAGTATTAAACGGAAAGAACTTAAGTATAATCTTTGTATTATCATTTGAAAATTGAAGTCTAAGATGGCTTATTTGGTAATGGGCAAGAAATGTGACTTAAAAGAACTTGCCTTGGAATTTGATGTAGATGTCCCTTCTGATATTAAAATTATAGGCTTAAGGAATATGATTTTGAATAGTAAAAACTATAACGAAGAACTTACTAAACAAATGCTAGATAGAATTATAAGTGATCATTTAGACAGGGAAAAGTTAGAAATTTTATAAAAAGATAAGCAAAGAGCATTTGAAATGGAAATTTTAGAAAGCGTAAGCAAAGAACATTAACCTGAAATTGAAATCGCGCAGAATCAGAAGTAGAATGTAATGATTCTTCCTTCAATGTTAGTAGAAGTAATATTGTGATATGGTAATTAATGCTAAGTATGATTGATGAGGTAATAATGTTTTATTTAGTCTTATTTGAGAGAAGGCATGATGATGGTTAGAATAACAAAATGGGTTTCTCAGCTGTGGTCTATTCCTTATGAAATAACTCAATTAAACCCGTGAATCAGAGAAAAAGCTAACGGATTAAGCACGTTTTAACAACTGCTATTGAGAAAATTTAAGTTAAGCCCTGAACAGTTTCAGCAAAAGTTCGTTGATAATATTAAAACGTTACGTAATATGTGGAGAGACTTCAT